AGCGGAGTTTAGGCCCAGACACAGCTAGTGACGTCAGACTTAACGACAGGATTCATTGAAAGCTGTCTGGCAGGTGTAATAAAAGTTTAGAAAAACTCTTTACAGCCCAAGTTGTTCGTAGTGTATTTAAAAGTAGAATGGGAGGCAGAGCCTTCAGTTTTCAGGCCCCTCTTCTGTGGAACCAGCTTCCGGTTTGGATTCGGGAGACAGACACTATCTCTGCTTTTAAGATTAGGTTTCACACTTTCCTTTTCGCTAAAGCTTATAGTTAGGGCTGGATCAGGTGACCCTGAATCCTCCCTTAGTTATGCTGCAGTAGGTGTAGGCTGCTGGGGGATTCCTATGATGCATTGAGTATTTCTTCTTCAGTCACCTTTCTCACTCACTATGTGTTAATAGACCTCTCTGCATTGAGTCATACTTGTTATTAATCTCTGTCTCTCTTCCACAGCATGTCTTTTATCCTGTCTTCCTTCTCTCTCCCCAACCGGTCGCAACAGATGGCCACCCCTCCCTGAGCCTGGTTCTGCCGGAGGTTTCTTCCTGTTAAAAGGGAGTTTTTCCTTCCCACTGTTGCCAAAGTGCTTGCTCATAAGGGGTCATATGATTGTTGGGTTTTTCTCTGTATCTATGAAGCGCCTTGAGGCGACTTATGTTGTGATTTGGCGCTATATAAATAAAATTGAATTGAATTGAATTGAATATGCCTTACAATATAAAGCACCTTGAGGCGACTGTTTTTGTGATGTGGCGCTGTATACATAAAATTTAATTGAAAGTTACCCTCCCTATATTTCTGCACAACCACCCTAATTGATATAAACCAGTGTATGAACCACATTTGACTAAAATCCTTCCAGCAGTTACTTGCTCTTTTACTGATGGTTTTGCTGGACCATAATGAAGCTCTTCTGCACCACACCTTATTGAATAATAAATGGTGCACTTTTCCGTTGTTTTTAGAGGAAATAATTTCTCTGCATGCTACATTTCAGCAAGTCTCTTTGAAGCTTGTACAGTTAAAAGAAGTTGTGCAAATGATCAAAGGAAACTGCGGCACAAAAAAGTCTCACACGCTCACACAACTCACACACGCTTGCCTGCCTGTGTGCTACATTTTATTAGGAGCGATGGATCTGAAACTGCAGTGGAGCAATGATGGCCTTTGAAGTCATTCTGACCCATAGCATGTCATCTCCACGCTGTGATGTCCCACCTCCCCCTCTTACAGTCTGTGTGCACTAGGGAGCCATAAATTTACACCTCATGGAGATAATTGGATAAGTTATTAACTGTGTGTGTGTGACTCAGTAAGACTCCATGGCTCATAAACGGCAGTGTGTTTTGGAGTTGTGTGAATTATAGCTTAATGGAGAAAAGAAAGCCTCCAAAATAAAGGATTTGCATAAATTTAGCACAAGTAATTCCTCACTGAAAACTTTAAATGTCATCTTTCTGAAACACAGCCTTCGATGGAAAACGGAGCTGAGCTGAGGCGCCTCTGTTGCTTAAAGATTAAAGGCAAGTGGTTGTCCTCAGAGAGAGTGATGACTGTATGGATAAGCAAGAGGCAACTCAAAGTGTTCCTGAAGCAGCAGGAGAGCGTGTGCTGTATCTGAGACCCGGATAAGGGGGAAGTGTGTTTTTAGTAGACCCTGCTGTGGGTGCCTGCTGCAGTGGATACAGCACAAGAACAGTTCAAAGCAGAGCAAAACAGCAACGGGGAGTAGAACTTTCTCAATGCAGACTGTTGAAATACTGTAACTGTGACCATTGGCCATGTTTTCATATCAACAGTAGCTTTAGTGTTTTGGAACCAATGTAGGATCCATCTGTAAAACTAAAGCTTGTAGCTTTTATGTGTTCACATCATGAACAAAGTAATTCAGATGTTGATCAACCAAACAAATGACAAGCCAACTTTATTTTCTGGCATTTCAAATATGAACCTCAATGACCTCAGTATTATTGAAGTGCACTACAGTATAAGAAGGACAAACAATTTAGAGTAAATGGTAAGGTCTATAAAGTAATGGTTTGCTGTACAATGCATTTTGATAGCATTGTCTTTTGAGATGAGTGTTTAGGTATTTACTACACCTTATTTTAAAGAGTTAGCCTTTTAAGTGTGTTCGAAATGAAAGTAAGTATAGTATATCTGAGTTATTGCATCTTTTTTCCTACCTTTTTAGGTGGGTTCAGTTTTCAGCTTAGTAGTAGGTGGGGCCGGCGAGTATTTGTGCCTCTTCCGAATGTTTAATGGGGATGTGATTATATTCCCCTCCTACTCACACAAATCACATACTGTACATACAAATGCACACACACACACACGCATACACACACAGCTGTGAGCCCCTCCCACCCTCACAGACTGGAATAGAGAACGGGAGAGAGAAGCTTGACGGTTGCGACTGAGTATAGAGGGAATGTCACTGGACCCTGGCAACACTCTCACAGACTAAAGGCAGTAGCCCAGTGACAGAATCGTCCATCTGGCTATAGGCACAGACAAGACTGATCGCCATGCAGGGACAGGCAGGAAAAACACCCAGAAAGGAGATGGTGATAGAGTCTCCACAGCAGTACAAGAGCCTGGCTGAGATTGAGGCAGAGGTGGAGGCAGGGTCACAGGGGGCAACGGTGAGTTGTACTTATGCCATATTTCAGAAATAAATCACAAGTTGTTTTTTTTAAATCTGGAAATTTCTTGCTAAATGGAAGAGATGTGATTGTTACCTTTTAGTGCATAGATTCTTTTTAACAGCTACTTTGAAGATCTTTTTAAAGGCATTTGAAGGAAATTGGAAATAGTAGGTCACACCTCTCCAGAGGGTTGAATGTCAATCTTTTTAGGATATGAAGCACTTGTGAGTCCTTTTTTTCATGAACTGTTCCTGTGCCTTAGCGAGTTTGAGAAGTTAAATGCAGAGTTGATAGAGAGCTCATTTGTTGAAGAAAATAGTAAAAAGCACCATAGCCTGGGAATGAATTACTTGAAAGTCACACAGTTCACAGCCGCTTGCTGTTATCTTCGATCTCACTGGCAAACATTCAGTTGGAAATTTGAACTGAAGTTTTTTTGCTTGTCATGCTCTTATAGATCCAAGGGACTAAGAGCTATTTGCACTGTATCATCAAAAGTATTGGTTGGATGAATGTAAATGTAATTCTGTGAGCAGACATTTGTTTATTTTTCTAATGTATTCACTGGATTCAGAGGCTTATCCAAATAGTTTGAATCATGTGTACTTCTAGTGGTCACTTTGAAACCAGAAATCTCAGTTTAGTTTTACAGCTATTAGTGACAGGTCAACACTCAACTGAGCAGTTTAGGAACTGAAATGATGTTGAATCAGTTCCTAACTACTGTCAATACTAGTTTAATCCATACTAAAGCAGGTGCATAGCTATGCTGGGCAGTCAGTGTTTTTGTCAAATACGGATGGATAAAAAAAATTCTGAATGAATCAGTCGAAAAATGACAAATGCAGATCCTTCCACACTGGTAAACTGCATTTTACAATTTAGCACTTAACATCCAGTCGTGCTCTGAGCAGACAGTTGTGTCTAATTTTGTGTCAAGAGGGTAAGAGGAAAACTCTTGATAGAGGTCTTATTGTTGGGGCGCAGATGGCAAGAGGCCAATGGCTTCGGTCACAAAGGCTGTGTGTGACTTGCGTTGGTCTGGTTGATGGTCAGGTTGATAACTTTATCAGTGATTTTGGAGCTAACACAGTTGGGTGGATCTACTTAACATCTTTTTTTAAGTAAATCCAAAAAAACTAGGTGCTGTTACTTGGTGCTATTTAAATAACATTGTGCTGAACTGAATTATGACCATTAAGAACAGAGGTGAAGGAGAGAGTGCGGCAAGGGTGGAGTGGGTGGAGATGAGTGTTGGTGTGTGATCTGTGACATTAAGGATAGCAACAAGAGTGAAAGAGCAGGTTTAAAAGACTGAAGTGTGGTTTGATGGAGGTGGCAAAGTAGTAAATACTCTGCATATGCGAAACATCAGCACTTTAGCTTTATTACAGTGAGTATGTTCATACATTGATGTTAGAATTTGTGTTAAATCTGCAAACTTAGCCTTTTCTTCTTTTTTGCACACAAGGCATAACTTTTTTTCACTGAGGTGTCTGTTAGTGACTTTGCTTGGAAAACCCCTTCTTTTCTTCATTCTCATGTTTTACTTCACAATACTTGGCAGGTATCCTAGTAAAATGGAGTTTAAAAACAAAGGCAAACCTATAGTTTTAAGCTTCAGTTCCCACACAGAAAACATAGTATAGCTACTTAATCTAGCTACAAGGGCTGAAACTGCAAAAGGGCACTCAAATACATTTTTGGCCTTAATGTGTAGAGAAATGTAGCTGTTCAGAACAGCTATTTCCTTGTAATTAACTGGTTCTGTAAACACAGAACTGTGTCTTGGTTTAGTCTAATATCCACATCCACAGAGATGGCGTGTATCACTGGTGAACATCAGACTTTGTGAGGGAGGACATGTGGGGGGGAACCCCTTGGGTCTTTTCTGTGGTATGTTACAGCTGATGTCTGCAGTGACAATACAGCATGGTCTACTTCTAAGTTAAAACTCCTGGTCAGGGTGTATCTTCCTCCTGTTGAGGTTTTAAATCTGAGCTCAGCCCACTGTGACTGGTACAGTGACACACACACACACACACACACACACACACACACACACACACACACACACACCAGTGTCTCCTACCGTAACCCACATTCACTGCCATCTCTGTTTCTGTTTCTACATCTGTAGCTTTCAATCAGTAATGCTGTGAAAGGACAATGGCAACTTGTTGTCCATGCACTGTGACAGATTTCCTTTTGTAACTTATCTCACAACCCGTGCAATAATAATACCCTTGACAACTCTACAGTAAAAGACTGCCATTAAGGTTGTGCGCTTATGCTGTAAATGACTACGACAAAAATGTGAAGAGCTGGATTAATTCAGTCATCTGTTCCTTCAGGTAAAGCCAAAGATCATTGAGCCTCTGGATTATGAGAATGTGCTCCTACAGAGGAAAACTGAGATCATCAGTGATGTTCTCAGAGACATGCTGCAGTTCCCCACAGACGACTTCCAGGTAAGAAAAGTGAGAGTTCTGAAAGCCATGCTGCACTACCTTTTAGGGAAATGTAGAGAATCCATAACTGTGAGCTGGTAAACCAAGTACAAAGAAGTATAGTAAGTATGTATAAACAAGTATGTGTCATACATTGGATTTTTACTGTATTGTGTACACTGTCTGTACAGCATCTACATCTGCTGCTTCCATTCAAAAGAGCTTAAAGAATGCATCAACATGACATCACAGTAGTGCTGAGATTGATGTTAGATTGGCCTGTTCCCACTTTTGGAACAAGTCATGCTCAAATAATTGCCACTTGTCAATCAGTCTCCTTGGCAATAAACCAAACTTTATTCTTTTCTTACTGCACAATAAATTTGACAAAAACACCAAACCAACAAAGAAGAGATGAAAACAAACACAACCATGGGGCTCACTACTGTGCTGGACTCAAACCCACATATACTCTCCTGCTGGATTAATGTGGCTTAATCCATGGCTAAAATGAATCTCTAACAGAGACACCATTTCTTCCTATTTGAATAAATTTGGGTAAAATGTATAGTAATTAATTACATGAAAAAGACATTTTATGAGCAGTTTTGTACAGGCTCACTGTCTCATGTCAATGCCACATACAGTAAAAAAAAATAAATTAATTAAAAATTCATAGCAACAATAGTATGTGGTGGGAAATCTACAGTCTACAACTCCCCTCTGGACTCTTTCGTAATCAGTAGATGATGGGTGGGTTTCATTACAAGGCCGTCTGCAGTGTATAGTGATTAGTGAATGTGTGTGTGTGTGTGTTTTCATGGTCTCGCCCAGTATGTCCATCTAACCTGCCATATGTTTTACATCACTGGGCCCATAGAGAAGGGAGGGAGCTAGCCAGACATGTGGGTGTAGCATGTGCACGTGCTGCACAGATTAACACATATGAGCACACGCCCACGTTCACATTTATCAGCCTGCTAAGAATGCTGGTCTGTATCTCTGCATGCACATACGAGCAGAATACGGTAATGCCTGTATTTTAAAAACAACAAAATTAAATGGGATTACGTGAAAATGGTACTTTCATGGGCAGTTTTGCAGATCTCCAACTGTCACCTTACTGGTACCTTCAGTTTCCAAAGAAGAAGGTTGACCTCAGGAGACTCTCTTCTTACCCTTTACCACTCTGGCCTCTGTGATCTCTATGCCCTATAAGTATTTAAATTTTGTCTGTCCTCCTACATTAGTGCTGTGGGAACACACTCCTTTGGTCTGGTGGAAGTCATCAAAGCCCTGTTTTAATGACTGTGAAAGGAATGATGTTAACTGGCTGCCAGCAGTTCCTGCTCACAGTCAAAAATGTAAATTTAGCCACCTTTAAAGAGCAACTTGTCCTTTATGCTTGTCTATACATTATGGATGTTACAGCAGCAGATGGATATTTTGGGAACTATATTTATAATATTTCTCTGTATTAATATACTGTATTGTCTTTCCAAATCATATATAATCCATTAATAAATCCATAGAGAGAGAGTAGAGTCATAGAGGAAATGAAGCTGAACAGTTGAAATATCAGTCTGAATAATCTGAATTTTCCACATTATAAATATAAGAACTATATTGGACCTTTATGCAGGATTACACACAGGAAGATTCAAGTGAGCCCAGTTTATCTATTGGCATACCTTTGATGGCTGATGTGAACGTGAGCTGGTCAGACATGCTTGCTAATGGAGGAATGAAGAAACTAGGTCATTGTGCCACAGCTGCATACTCATCTTTGTGGTTTGAGCAGAAAAACAGAAGACTAAGTGGTAGCACAACCTCCAGTAGCTTGAAAGTCTTGCCAGTCTTTTTCTGGCCTGAGGTGCTTTTTGCTCCTTTGCTTTGGATTATCACTCGTCATCTGTGTCTGGATGTCTCACTCTAATAAGGCTGGCAAAGATGAATTAGGTTGGAGTAACGTTTGGCTGCCATAAATCCTCTGTAGCAGAGGATTTCTCTGAGTAATCATTATGATTCCTTTCACTTCATTATTAAAATGCATTTTTAATATTGTCCAAGTTTACCAAGCTACTTTCAGCTGCTCCCTTATTCACAAGGGGTCAGCATAATGGCTAGCTCAGCACATTTCATTTGGCACTCTTTTACACCGGATGCCCTTCCTGACACAGCCCCCCTGAGGGATTGGATGATCTGATATCCTCGTGTTGGTGTTGTTCCCAGACCATCATGAAAATGTTGTTCCAGGTTCAACATTGCAAGTGACCAATCACATTGTTGTGACGTTATTCCAAGCCATTCGTGCATTTATGAAATTCCAATGTTGCAAGGACAATATCAATTCTGCTTACTGTTTATTAAAGGGTTACGGTTAGGGTTAGGGTTAGGGTCAGGGTCTGTTGATCGGCGGACAGAGGCGGTTTCACGCAGCTTAAGTACAGTTTTTTGTTTTACGCCAGTTTTTCCCGAAGTCGCAAAACTATGACGTCACAAAATTCTGATTGGTCACTTGCAATGTTGATCCTGGAACAGCATTTAGTATGATGATCTGGGAACAACACCAACACAAGGATATCAGATCAACCTGAGGGATTTGTGTCTCCTCTGTGGATCAAACCGGGGATGCTCACTTGTTAGGGAAATGTGTAAACCAATACACAGTGGAGCCACAATGAAGTATAATACGATCATCATATGAAATAAAAAAATCACAGAGGCATAGGAAGTAGCTGCCACTATGCTGTAGGGTAACTGAGCACAGCAGTGAACCTTCTTGGCTCTAAGGAGGCCAGAATGTTGCCTACCTTCTTTTGAAAAAGAGTACAAAGAGAAGCCCCCAATAGGGATCAATAGTTCAATAGTTCAAACAAGAGTAAAGTGAATTTTTGGTCTTATAAAAACCTAAACCTAGATATGCTGTGCCAACCTCATTTTCAGGCCTGCCTTCTGTGTCTCCCCTCAGATCTCCACCCTGCAGCGCCAGGGCCGGACTCTGTTTTCCACTGTGCCAGAGACTGCAGAGAAAGAAGCTCACTCACTGTTTGTCCAAGAGGTAAAACGAATACATATCTGGATGCAAGCCTGCTTTGTCCGTTATTTATCACTCAACCGCACCACCATGATTTCACCTTTCAGCCAAAAGTAGGCATCCAGATTGTGTATCTGGATTTCACTCTTTGAAGACTCATCAAAGGGGGCTTGTATTTTCAGATACAAATCCATGCAGGGACATACTCTGATTTGTTTGTGGCAGGTTGGCAACGAGAGAGCTAATTATATTTCAGTCAAATCTAAGTGAAAAAGACAAATGTTATCTGACCACTAGAAACAAGTCATACCATGTGTGCTGGAATTTTTTTCTGCTCCCCTTCAGATGAACTTCCATTCATGTTCCCCGCCCTTACATGCTTGCTAACAGTCCAGTAGATTGGCCACAGATGGAGCCTATAGTTCATTGGTGGTTCATGTAGTTTCAGAAGAGCTGTGTGTTGAGATTGGTTTGGGTGCATCCTGATAGAGCCTGATAGGTGATATTCCCCCACAGCTGCAGCCAAGAGTGAAATCATAAGTACATCTGGAGCAGCTGTGCTCCTTACACATGGGATGTTTTGTTTCATAATTTGTTATTCTACATTTTAATGACCCCCTTTTCCCTCACATTTTGTGAACACAGAACTGATGAGCACACATTGAAATAATAAAGCTATGTTTAAACTGCTCTTTACCTCAAAAACATGTTCTTTTATGCTTTGTTATCTTGAATAGCTGTTTTTTTTATTGAATCATGTTCTTTTTCTGCATATTAACTATAAACTTGTATAACAGTGTTTTAATTAAAACATTCAAGTGCTCTGAAAGGATTCATTCTTTAAGTTTACTTTGAATGATTTGATTCTCTGCTAAAATTCTAGGTTTGCTCATTTGAAAAGAAACAAAATGTCGTTGAGTGAAATAAGTATTTAATTCCCCACAACCCAGCCACAGATTGGCTGTGGAACACAGATTACAACCAATCAGTCACACAACACTTGTTGTGTGACTGATTGGTTGTAATCTGTGTTAAAGTATAAAGGAGGGATCTTCTTCCACCAAGGCAGATACCTCGCTGGGTTACTTTTAGGGGAATAGCTGTACTTTAAAAGTTTGTAATGCAGTAAACAGAGGTCAGATGTTATTTGGATGCAAACTATAATGTGATATTTAGAAATACCATATCTCAGTATTGTTTCATAAATGTAGCCAGAGGTAGGGGTGAATTAGTTTTGAGGATCCAAATGTAGGACTCATAGGCAGTCATAAATAAACTTTTAATGCTGATTAGCAATGGGTGTACAAAGTCCAGGAATAAAATGAGGACAAACCAGCAAGTCCAAGTTCGGAAATCATTGGAATAACAATATAAGTAATACTTTGCTACAAGAACACGTAGCAATACAGATGACCCAAGACAGGACAAAGGAAGATACACAAGAAGTGATGAGGGGAGAGGAACCAGGTGATTACTATACTGACTCCTTTTAATCATTGAATGGCCCAAAATCAAAGATATTCCATTTATAAATAGTAAAGTAAGACATTTAGTAAACTAGAGATAATATTTAGTTAGTAAATAACAGAAGAGTGAACAAAGCGTGCATCTGCTGACGCTCCTGCATCAACAGGGCCATCTATTCCCAATTAAAAATAATTTTTGTAATGTTGTTAAACATCTCCATACTTTTCCTAGATTATTTTTTTAATAAATCTAATTACACATCTGTATATGCTTTGTTAAAGAGACCCCTCACCACCTCTTTACTTCATGTACCTGCAGTGTATCACGACCTACAAGTCTGACTGGCACGTGGTCAACTACAAGTATGAGGAGTATGCTGGAGACTTCCGCCAGCTTCCGAAGTGAGTATGCCGGAAGGCTTCTGCTAACAGGTCCATCAGACTGCACGCTCTCAACAGTCTATCAATGCTGCATTCATGTAGCCAATGATAGTGTTACTGACTCTGTTTCAAACACTACAGTGAAATTAATAAAGACAGTATGTAAGTGTTGCTGGTAGAAGGGCACTCCACCACATCTGTTTTTATCATTCTCAGCAAGTCTTGTAAAAGCATGTTGCCTTTATAAGTCTGATTTGTCTTAAGCACACTGCTGTTAGAACAAATCATCTATATACAAATAGCAGATTAGCAAAATTTGTTTAGCTCATCACACTTTGTGTGTGTGTGCCACTTGTTTTGCACATATTCAACTCTGTATATTTTATATATTTTATTATTATTATTATTATTATTATTATTATTATTATTATTATTTTTACTATTTACTATTTAATTTGTAAAAATGTGTATACACACACACACACACACACACACACACACACACACGTAGGAAAATATTTAGTATACACATCCAGAAATGAATACACTATTATATATTGTACATATATTTATTAGTTTCAGGTTGGCCATTCTTGTATTTTGCTCGTTTGTGTTGTTGTGTTTGCACATCTCTGTTGCTTGTGGGGCTCGCACACAAGAATTTCACTCGCATGTGCTGTGCCAGTGTGCCTGCACATGTGATGTGACAATAAAAGTGATTTGATTTGATTTGATTTGCATATATATTCTTACTGTACTGCTTGCCCTATGGTTCTAAAAGCCTCCACAACATATTGTAAATCTCACTGTGTTCAGTGGCACTGCCCTTTGTGTACAAGTCCCAAAGTGTGAACTGGTGCCTCCTGGTGGCACATTACATTATTCTGTAATAACAGAATTTCAGTTTGAAATTGAAGTTACATATTTATAAAAAAAAAAAATCATTTATTTATATTTAAATAAAATGGGAAATACCTGCAACCGGTCGAGGTTGAATAAAATATTTAGGATATACATTTCTTTCTTGTATTTTGGTTAGAGTGAAGATTTAAGATTGGGTGGCCCTATGAGATTTGGGAATGGCTATTTCAATCAAACGCTGGATTCTCTTTTGGTGGTTCTAAGCTCCACAGTAAAAATAGAACACTTTCGATGTTTTCCTACCAAGGAAAAGTAGAACTATTCTTGGATAGCTGTTGCCCAATGGCATCATAACAAAAAGAAAATACCACAATGCATATGTGCCCTTGGATGAGCCTTTACTTCACAAAAGAAATGAGTATTACAGATGTATGTCATGGTTAAGACATTGCAGAGTAACAGCAAGCTGGTTTTGGCACTGTTTATAGTTCTAGTTCCCCAGAGCCACTGGTGTTTGAGCTAGAGTAGAGAAACAGCTGCCGATTTCATCAACATCTTGCTAGAAGAATTACCTTACAAGATGTGGCTGAAGTGGTAGTGAGGTTATCAATGTGCTGTGGGGATAAAGGTTAGTATAGTTCATTAAAACTAAACTAAAGAGTTAAACATTCATTGAGTGTTTAACTTCAAACTTAATAGTCTCAGAGTTGTAAAGTAAAGTAAAGTGTGCGTGTTAGTCCCCATAGGGAAATAGTTCCTCTGCATTTAACCCATTCACCCAGTGAAGCAGTGGGCAGCCACCAGTGCAGCGCCCGGGGAGCAGTGTGTAGGGACGGCACCTTGCTCAGGGGTACCTCAGGGTAGCCGTTCAGTGGAGTCGAACCCCCGACCTTGCGATCATGGGGCCACCACTCTACCTACTGAGCTATCCCTGCCCTTGATTAATGAAAACATTCTTGGCAAATGCTTTCGCTTTCGTCCGTCTTGCGCCGGTCCAAGAATTTGCCCCAAACATATGTAAGAGTTCTTACATATGTTTGTGAGATGGTTTAACATGAAATTGAATTAAGTGAGCCAAGGCTGAATTATCTTTTCCCAAACTTTTCAGTAAGGTATTGAGACCTGAAAAACTGGTGGCTCATGTGTTTGAGGTGGATGAAGATGTGGAAAAAGATGAGGTAAGATGACTAATTCCAGACTCGTCTTCAGCTGCTTGTTCCCATAGTTTCTTTGTGATCCACTTCTGCTCCTGTAAGATACAGAGCTTATAAGTGTGACTTTGCATTCTTCCTTTAGGACTGACCAAACGCTCTTCAAAGAAACTCAAATACAAGGAAGTGTAACAGAGCGCACTTAGCTTTTAATTTATTACTAAACATTGTATTTGTTTAGTTTCAGTACTCTTTTACAAGCTAAATGTCTTTACTGCTCTAGATCCACACTGTTTGTAGCATTCAAAGGCACATCTCTTCCCAATAATTATGACACTTTAACAACGATTTCAACTTTGGACCTTAATAGGCGCACAACAGCACTGTTTATCTTAATGTGTGTACAGGTTCTTACTATACTGGTGGGGACCAACAGCCCTTGTGGGGACTAAAATTCAGGTCCCCACGAGGTTGAAGGCATCAGTCCAAAAACAAAACATCCACAAAAACACTGGAGCACAGGGAGAAGTTCATAAACAGTTCAGGAGGCCGACCCGGAGGACGAGCAGTTCAGGGGGCTGACCGCACAGCCGAGCCGTCAGCGGACACAAGGTGCTGAAGCAATTCCTCTGACCCTTCAGCGATGGCGGACGGCTGAAGCGGCTCCTCGGGCCCTCTAGCGATGACGGACGGCCGAACGGGCCCCTCGGACCCTCCTGCGGAGACAGACTGTCCAACGGGCCCCTTGGACCCTCCTGCGGAGACGGACTGCCCGACGGGCGCCTTGGACCCTCCTGCAGAGGTAGACTGCTGAACGGGCGCCTCGGACCCTCAGCGGTGGCCAACACAGAACCAACAGGTGCAGAGACTGATCAGAACCAGCAGGCACAGCTGCTGAGCAGGTGACACTGGAGACTGAGCTAGCGGCTGCTGCTGAGCCGGGGAGAACATCCTCCGGTGGGCTGGGCAGCGAAGCAGTTGTGGCTGGGTGAAGGTGTAGCGTATTGATGATGAAATTCCGTACGAGCGGGTGAAGCGCATCCAGTAGTCAGGGGATCCTGGAAATGAATCGCTGTAGCCTTGTTTCCACAGCGTGATGAAACTCCTTTCCCTCATGATTGAGCCACAGTTGAAAGAGTTTCTCCACGGAGTAAATAATGTCACGGCAAAGGTCTTCTGGTTGAATGCCGCTGGGTCCATGTTGGCTGGTTTGTGCTGTCACGGCTAGCAGGGCAAGCCGTGTGAGTTTTAATAGAGGACCCAAGATGCAGGCAGCTTCAGATGCGAGTGAGCTTTATTAATAAGGATGGACACACAAACCAGAATGTAGCAGGCACAAAACAAAACCTAAGAGCACTTAAACTGGGAAAACTAACCTGAACCCAGAACAAAGACACCTGGAGACTCGGGAAAGCAACACAGACAAACCAGCAACAGGCAGCAGAACACACAGGGCTTAAATACTCTCAGGAGTTATCATGGGATAGAAGACAGGAGGGGAACACACCTGGGAGAAATCACGGCTAGACACAGATGTAAAGCTGAGAACACTCACATGAGACAGAGACCTTCAGAATAAAACAGGAAACTGACAGACACAGAACCAGACAAGACACTGAACTTAACAGACAGATTCACGAGCAGACACTGTGACACCATGGATAGACAGAGGGAACACAGAGAAGTGGGAGCAGGTAGGCACAGAACAGAAACCTAGCAAATGGCAAACCTTAACAAAAGACATAACCAGAATAAACAAGAACATAGAATAATATAAGGAAACACAAAACACTGAGTCATCAGACTCAGGACCATGACAAAATGTGGTTTTAGTGTCAGGGTTACGATTGGGTTATGGTTAGGATTAGGGTAAGGGTTAGAGTTAGGCATACATTTTTGATGGTTATGTCAATGAGATATCCCCACAAGGATAGCAACACCAGACAATTTTTTTATTTTCCCCTTAATCTCCTCCTCCAGGACACAGCCTCTCTGAGATCTCAGAAAGGAGGAGTGTCTAAGCATGGCTGGCTTTTTAAAGGCAACGTCAACGGTGCAATCACTGTTACAATGCGGGTGAGTACAGCAGACTGAAAATGACAGAAATTTACATTTTCTTTGTTTATATATACAGTCCGGATTAGAAGTTTAAGACCACTTGAAAAATGACAAAAATTTATATTTTGAATGGTTGGATATAGTAGAGCTTCAATGTGCAACAAGAAGAAATGGAAGTGAGACAAAACATTTTTGAGCATGCAATTTATTGAAAACCAGGTTGAGGTGGGATGCAGTAAAACGGTCATTTGGAATTTCTTAAATGATTCTGAGGGTTAAGGAACAAAAACGTCAAGTGGAAGATCAAAAAACATTTTGTCTTAAGATCCAGCCATGATGTTTTTGTATATAAAAAAATCACATTTTATATATATCAAAGCACTTTAAATTGTAAGGAAGACCCTACAAAATACAAATATAACAGAGAAAACCCCAACAATCATATGAGCCCCTCTGAGCAAGCGCTTTGGCGACAGTGGGAAGCAAAAACTCCCTTTTAACAGGAAGAAACGTCCAGCAGGCTCAGCAAGGGACAGCTATCTGCAGCGACCAGTTGGGGTCCGGGGGGGCAAGACAGGACAAAGACATGTTGTGGAAGAGAGCCAGAGATGAATAATAAGTGATGATCCAATACAGAGAGGTGTATAGTCACGCAGTGCGTGAGAAAAGCGACTGAAGAAAAAAATACTCAGTGCATAATGACGGTTCAGTAACCCTACCGAACTACTTTTCCCTGCATCCTTTTTTCCCCTGTGAACATATGGAACTCAGATTAGTCTTTGTGTGTGATAGCTCAAAACTTTGCTTACTTTTTCAGTTTACCCACAAGCTTTCCCATGCTCTCTCTCCGTTCTTTAGTATTTTTTAGAGAAAATTAGTCCATTAGGAATGTTAACATTCTTTATTGTCATCATAGTCCTTCAAGAGGAGGTACTTCCATCTGGCTCAGCTGGGGGATGGGTCTTACAACCTCAACTTCTACAAGGATGAGAACACCTCCAAAGATCCCAAAGGAACCATCTTCCTTGACTCATGCATGGGAGTTGTTCAGGTAATGGTGAGCTGTGGTGGTGGTAGTGATGGTGGTTAAACTGAATGCAGCAAAAGGAAAGTTAGCATTCTGTTAGCTGTCCACTGGAAACAAAAAGATTAAAACCACTTTTACAGAAGCTGTGTTTGTGTTTCTTCTCTTTTAGAACAGTAAAGTGCGTCGATTTGCCTTTGAGTTGAAGATGCAGGATAAGAGCACATTTCTGCTGGCTGCAGACAGTGAAGCAGAGATGGAGGAGTGGATCACTACCCTCAACAAGATTCTCCACAGCAGCTTTGAACAGGCCATGCAGGAGAAAAAAAATGGCGATCTGAATGATGGTATGTATTTTTTAACACTTTGTCTGAATTATTTATATGTTTTATTGTCTGCCTGCCTTGTGTTTGTAATTGCATTTGTTTTCATCTGATTATATTTTTTGAAGCTTGCTGCACCTGTGGGATTCTTCGATTTGCTGAAATGTACTTCTTTAACTTTATAACCCATGTTTTTACTTCCTTTCAGTTATCCTTCTGAATACAAGAGACCAATGCATTACTATGTTTTATGCAGCAGCCACAGCTAACAGACCTTATGTTGATCTCTCCAGCAGATGAGGAACATGGAAAAACAGAACTTTCCACTGGAGATTTTCAAGAAACCTTTCAGGTATCTTGTTAGTCCATCAGAAATAATATTAATGGTTGGCATGTACAGTACCAGTCCTCATACTGTGGATGTATACTGAATTTTTGATGTTTGAGAGATCACTTGGAGCCTGTCTGTATTGTAACTATGGCCTGACCATTAGGCCAGCTGTTTCAAGGATCCAGGCCTCCACATTTTCCTCTTTGTGCTTACCAAGGAAACATCCAATATAATGTGCTAGATCTCTAAAAATGGGATTTAGTAGTCTGGGATCACACTTGAGACTCTAGCACTTGTGACACTATAGCATATGCTATGAGCTCCTCTTTATGGGTGCCGGTGCTGCCTGCCCTTTTGTTGAGTCACGGTGGGGGCCCTGGGCATTGATGGAGATCTTCCTGAATGTTTGGGGATCGGTACGCAGGTGTTTACTGCTTTTTGATCTTCGCTGTTGGTTGTAGCCACTTGGTGTTTCTGGGCTGACTTTAATCTCAGAATTCTGAGATCTGTGGGGATTTCTTTGCCTTAGTTTTATGTGAACAACAACATAGTGGGAGCTACCCAGACCTCATTGTGATTCCCGATTCAGATGGAGATAGAGCTCTTCTCCGATACCCTGAAACACAACTTCAAATAAATCCTAATGGTTTGCTAACACAGAAGGCAAAGCAGTTTTACATTAAGTAATGTCTTAGCATTGCCTTTACAGGTTTTTGCATTGCCCCTAATTTAAAAGCACTGTGTTGTTAGGTACTGTATATGCTGTATAAAATGTATTTAGCCAATGTCAGTTAAATTAAAAATCTTTTGGAAGGATAAATGATCAGAATCGGAATACTTTAATAATCACTAAGGAATTAGGTATGATATTCGTTACGATGATAGTTTTCAATTCAATTCAATTCAATTTTATTTATATAGCGCCAAATCACAACATAAGTCGCCTCAAGGCGCTTCATAGATACAGAGAAAAACCCAACAATCATATGACCCCCTATGAGCAAGCACTTTGGCAACAGTGGGAAGGAAAAACTCCCTTTTAACAGGAAGAAACCTCCGGCAGAACCAGGCTCAGGGAGGGGCGGCCATCTGCTGCGACCGGTTGGGGTTTCAAAAGACGATATAATGGGGAAGTAGATGCAGAACATTGCTACACTGTGCATTTAGTGATATTTCACTAAGAGTCTGCAATATTGGTGAGAAAACCACAACAACCCTCTATGAGAAAGCACTTGGTAATAGTAAGAAGGAAGATCCAAAACTGGACCCAAGGCAAGCTTGGGAGTGAAGCAAAAGAGAAAAGACATACAGTATCAAGAGAATACTCAACTGATGCCACATCTTCAAGATCTCCAGATGTCTAAAATGGACAACATAATTTGTTTGTTACTACTTTATAATTGGAAATGCATTCTTATTTTGCTTTGTTTTTCACAGACTGCCAGAGATATTGAATCTAAGATGAGAAGTGAAGCTCGCCTCAAGCTGTTCACTCTGGACCCTGACACTCAGGTATTGTCTGATTTCTCAGTAGCATCGCTGTGACTGATATTTTTGTTGTGGCAGCAGATAATTTAAGCCTTCTGACAGCAACTCTTATTTCCACAGAAACTAGACTTTTCTGCCATTGAGCCTAATGTGCAACAGTTTGAAGAGAAGTTTGGGAAAAGAGTCCTGGTCAGCTGTCATGACCTGTTGTTTAACCTGCAGGGCTGTGTTGCTGAGAATGATGAAAGGCCAACAACTAATGTATGTATCAGTGAAAACCCAGCAGTCAAATGCAGCTGCTGGATGTGTCTGTATTTGCACACAAACTTTCAGCTTAACAGACAAATATCCTTTGGCAAATGATGGTGAGGTTTAAATCACTTAAGAAGATCACAGACAATTCAGATGACCCACTTGGCTGGCCCCCATCAAAACCCCGCAGTGTTCTCTACCATGGAAACCAGCTTTGGCCTCCTACCATGCATTAGCACCAGTCTGAGGCTGGTTTCCTGTCGTCACTCCAAGGTCTCTGTCTCTGACTCTAACACTCAACGCTCAGCTGGGACAATACAGCCATTAGCTCTTGAGCTGCTCTGAATGCATGCACACACACACAAATGGTGTTGTGTAATGGAAAAGCTTGGTGGAAAGAGTGAAAGGGAAGATAAATTACCTCAATGGTACATTTAGTCTTAATGGAAAATCAGAAGTGCATTAGGAGAATGACTATCCCTTAACCCTGGAGAACCCATGGGGTCAGGTCCGACCCCATTGGTTTACTAGGGAAACCATGGGTTCAAATTTGACCCCATGGGTTCTCCAGGGTTAAATTGCAGCTTTCTTTTTACTTTTTTCTTACACTGCATCTCTGTCTCAAAACATTTTCCCTCCTGTCCTCTATCGTCAAAGGTGGAGCCGTTCTATGTGATCCTGTCCCTCTTTGACGTCCAGAACAACAGAAAGATCTCGGCCAACTTCCATGTGGATCTCAACCACCCTTTGGTTCGACAGATGACATCCAGTCATGGTAGTGGATCCAACCAGCAAATCAGTGGCAGCAGTAATGATAGTGTTTTGGAACACAGGTTAGCTAGTGGGCTCCCAGAGGGGGCTGTCCGGTATCCCAAACAGGGTATATTCTCAGTCACCTGCCCCCATCCAGAAATCTTCCTAGTGGCCAGGATTGAGAAGGTCCTACAGGGAGGGATCGCCCATTGCACTGAACCCTACATGAAGAGCTCTGACTCTGCTAAGGTACATTTATATGAAGATGAGGATATGAAGTGTATTTTTCTTGTCTTATGCTGGTAATTGCCAAAATAAATCCCCTGTTTTCTTGTGTAGATGGCTCAAAAGGTGCTAAAGAATGCCAAGACAGCTTGCGGCCGACTGGGCCAGTACAGGATGCCATTTGGCTGGGCTGCAAGGTATAAAGCCACCTTATACTTAAACCATCAATTTACCTATTCAATTCAGTGTTAGATGATAGTCTTGATCTCAGGTTGCAGAAGCCGTCGCTCAGTGAGATGCTGGTGTATATAATACCATCAAAGACAGTCCCTGGTGCTGATCTAAATGTGTGATGAGAGAGGGCTTATAACAAACAACTGCTCACCTCTCGTGCTATGCCTTCATGGGTTGGAAATAGGAGACGATAAGTAGTCTGGTTTCTTTAAAAAATGTAATCCAGCTATGAGTTTATACATATTTTATGTACAATATTAATGGTAGGTGGAGGGTTGTTTTGTTTTTGCTTTGAGGATTTGTGGATTTTGTTAACTTTGGCTTGACTTGCTAGTATAACGCTGTTCCTGTTTCTAATGTTGTTGTAGTTGAGGAAAATAGGGAGTTATAGTTGAAATACAGCAACCAAACCAGGTGAAAAGTGTGACTAAAGGAAAGACTTTCTATAGGAACACACGTTATTAAACCAGTATTGTGGAACTTAGATGTGCTCATCAGTAATTTCACTTATTTTTATTTTTTGGGTGTGTCTATCTCCCCAGGCCTGTGTTTAAAGATGCATCAGGCACTTTAGACAAAAGTGCACGATTCTCAGCTCTTTACAGACAGGACAGCAGCAAGCTGTCAGATGAGGACATGTTCAAACTGCTTACCGACTTCAGAAAGTACGTTCTTTCTCTTATCTAGTCACTTGTTTCTCTGTAACATGTTTTGATACAGTTTTGCAAAAAATTATTTGTTTCTTTGTTCCCAACAGACCAGAGAAAATGGCTAAGCTCCCTGTGCTCTTAGGGAACTTGGATGTAACAGTTGACAGTGTGCCCCCAGATCTAACCAGTAAAATCTTCAAATTTATAACATAACTTCTGAGTATCTATTTACAGTTATCAAATTGTATCCACAAGGATTCTGACTATCATTCCTTCCTGTAGATTGTGTCACTGCCTCCTACATCCCTGTGGGGAACTTTGAAGGAAACGGGCAAAGCAGTGCTCTTCTGGAAGTGGAGGAGTTTGTGCCCTGTATTGCTAAGTGTTCCCAACCATTCACCATCTATAAAAACCACCTTTATGTCTATCCAAAACACCTCAAGTACGATGGGCAGAAATGCTTTGCTAAGGTACTCACAACAAGGCTGCATCAAAATAACTAATAATACAAGATACCTTTGATTTTGAGCTGTTGGTCGATGCATGACCCTCACAAACACTGCTTCATCTTTTAAAGAGAAACTTCTAAGACAAATCATTTTAGGAAATAAATGGTTTTGTTTGGCAGATATTCTGTTTAGCCTATGAAACTAACTGGGATCTCTTTCAAGCTCTTCCAGTCAAGCTGCAGAGCTGGATAGTTATCATAATGCACAGCAGCTGCTTCTGATTAGTGCATCAATACAAGATTGTTACATTTACTTTCACTAAGTCAGCTCCAAACAGGAAACCGACCGATCTTATTTCCCTTGCGCCTTCTTACTCTCTTTCAATTTATTGTGAGCTCTCAGATCTTTACAGATTTCTCCCTCCTTTTATTGTAACAAGCGGGTAAGTCTATTTCACAGTCTGAAATAGACTCAGAGAGGCAAAGTAGGAAAAGTATTTGCTGGTAAATTGCTTCTATGTGACCTGGGATATCGTGGAAATGTGTCTTACTTTTCTCTTATGTTCTATCTGTTTCTTCCCTCTTCAGGCAAGAAATATTGCTGTTTGCATTGAATTTAAGGATTCTGATGAGGATGAAGCCCAGCCGCTGAAGGTGCATTTATATGCTATATAGCATACTTCCAAGGCAGAACATAAAACTACGAGATGTAATAGAGGCATATACTTAGGTCACTTTATTTAGACACCCGGCAAGCTCTAAACAAGAAGACAAAAGACATCAACACTCAAGGGTTCACGGGTGCACTTTAGACTAATTGATGTCCTCTCCAAGAGAGGGTACTTTTCCTAAAATAGATATTAGCTAATTACAATGCACAAGCCTTGCACAGATATTATCACATTTGGCTATTTAAACAATTACTAAGCAGATCTCAAAATGTTCTCTTGCAACACTTATGTAATAATCATCATTATCATCATCTTAATCATAATAATTAATAATAGTATGGCTTTGAAGCCTTTATTCTTTGACTTGGTGTTGAATGTTAGGTCTTAACTTAAATCTGCTTTGTATTGACTACAGACTAGTTTGTTTTGACTTGGGTTTCTTTGCCTTGACTTAGAATTAATCTTAGGGCTTTGCAATCTTGACTTTGGATTGTTCATCTTGACAGCTCAAACTAGCTGATAAACCAACGACCACAACATATTAAACCACACGATGAGCATGACAAGATATCCGCCTGTCCTCACATGATTTCTTGCTCCTACTTTTTGAATCTACTGCAGTGCATCTATGGCTGTCCTGGAGGGCCTCTATTTACTAAGCAGGCATATGCAGCAGTCCTCCACCATCAGCAGAACCCTGAGTTTTATGACGAGGTATTTCTCTGCTCATGTTATTCACAATCAGAGTTTAATAGATACAATGGCTTAATAGGGCTGCATGTCATATCAAGAGGGTCCTGAGTTTGCCTCCACCATCAGAGTGGAATTTGGTTCCTGGGTACTCCGGCTTCCTTCTACAGTCCAAAGACATGCAATTAGTAGGGTTTGGTGAATTGGTGATACTGTTGCCCATAGGTGTGGATGTGAGTGTGAATGATTGTCTGTCTGTATCTGTTGTCCTGTGACAAACTGGTGACCTACCCTGTGGTAGCTGGGATAGAGTTCAGTCCCTCCCACGACCCTGATATGGATAAGTGGAAGAGAGTAAATGGATGGATTAAAAATAGCTACAAACTACCAGCAGAGAGTCAGATATGTTGCACGATTAAGCAATTTTTTTTTCAAACCTTTTTGTTTTTGAAATAACAAAATACTTCTCATTGCCTCTCATGTTGCTTGAGCAAATTTGAACTCTACAACTGCAAAGCTTCTTCGGTATTAGCAAACTATGTTGTTGTGCTCTCTCTAGATAAAGATAGAGCTGCCTACTCAACTGCATGAGAAGCATCACCTTCTCTTCACCTTCTATCATGTGAGCTGTGACAGCAACAGCAAGAAGAAAGACGTGGTGGAAACTCCAGGTGGGCCATCAGTTTAAGTCACATCAACCCTCAGTGAATACGAAGCTGTTTGTGTGTGTAGCAGTTTGATTCAGATACACAGTGATTTAATATTCAAATCTTAATTCTTATGCTGCCTCTATTCCAGTACTGGTGCTATGTTAATGGTGCTGGGTTTTTTTTTAACCCTCAGTTGGCCAAGTATGGCTGCCTCTACTAAAGGATGGCAGAGTTATCACGAATGAACAACAACTTCCTGTGGCTGCCAATCTACCTGCTGGGTACCTCAGCTCCCAGGATGGTGTGAACAAGGTAAAAGACAACAACAACAAAAATGAACTTTTATTTTTTTGTAGGTAGTATGGTGTAGACTATAGATAGGTAGTGGACTAGCCTGCCACATAATTCTTTCATAATTCTTTGATTCAGCACTCTGTAGGTTGACAAGTCCAATTTCCATCAAACAGCGTGGCATCCTATCATCCTTTCATTTCTGGTGTCTTGTTTAATTTTATATATTTTGTTTGTATTTTCCTAAAGCTAATTTTAGTATCAACCAAGACAACCAAGACAGATCTGTTAAACATATCCTTATTTGACAACTAAGTGTTATTTACCTCTAGCAAGGTAAGGCCGTAAATCAAGCAGCATATGTAGACAGGAATTAACCTGCTGGGAAATGGTGAAAGGACAATGTGGGAAACCCAGGCTTCTATTCAGAATAATAAAGTGATGAATTTAGCAAGTTGAAACCCAAACATCTGCAATCAGAGGTTATACAGTAGCTATCCATCTTGCTTGAGATAGATATTGATGTAGATTGATATATGTATTGATATATGATATATGTATATTGATAGCATGGGTACTTGCCATGGAGGAACAATAATAATTAAGGCTTATTGTCAATTAATCTGTGATAAACGTTATTATATTATAAATCAGTATATGCAAAAAGAACATCACTGTGTTTATTTGTTGTACTGCAGTTTATACTTAATATCTAGTGCAGTTAATAGTTGTGTACTTGTTGCAGCACTCTGGGTTGGAGATCAAATGGGTGGATGGAGGAAAACCCCTTTTCAAAGTCTCAACTCATCTTGTATCCACAGTTAACACTCAGGTGTGTACACAAATAGCACATATATCCATGCAGTTAATGTTAGCTGCCTACTCACAACGGTTTTATAGAATAAAAAAAATCTAAACATCGATATGACATGTTTCTATTAGGATCAGCACTTGCATAACTTCTTTCACCACTGCGAAAGCATGGAGATGTCAGAACAAGCTTCGGAGGGAGAGCTTGTTAAATACCTGAAGGTATTCAGAGCTCCATTTACTTCTAATACCCTGAGGAAAATGGAACACACACTGTTGAACAATCTTTTCATCTAGCATTTAAGGGATCATGACAGGAAGAGTCCACAGTTATTGACTTTTTTCTTCTTACTTCCCTCTTAAAGAGTCTCCATGCAATGGAAGGTCACATGATGGTAAACTTTCTGCCCACCATTCTCAACCAGCTATTCTGTGTCCTGACCAGAACCACACATGAGGATGTGGCTGTAAATGTGACCAGGCAAGACACACACACACACACACACACACACACACACAAATACATAGAACGTCTGCCTTTCAGCGCCACTTTTGAACTGTGTTTTGTTTTTATTTCATTATCTTTGTAGGGTGATGGTTCATGTGGTAGCACAGTGCCATGAAGAGGGACTTGAGCATTACCTGAGATCGTATGTCAAGGTGCTTATTGTCTTATGAATTTTATCACAATGATGATATTCACTGTTTCAGAGTCTGACACTCCCCGCCCCCTTCTCTGCACCCAGTTTGTGTTGAAGCCAGAACCCTATTCTTTCACCAATGTAAAAACTGTTCATGAGGAGCTGGCAAAAGCCATGACAGCCATTCTCAAACCATCAACAGACTTTCTGACTAGCAACAAGCTTCTAAAGGTAATTCATCTGTCAAAAGGCAATCAGCAGAAGCTAATTAAAGGAGACTTATAAAGAAAAATAAAATAATATTTTTAAACTAATCCACAAATCTTTGTAAAATGATTATTTTTTTCAATTTACCTGTAAAAAAAATAAATTAAAATTAAATTAAACAACATAAATAGGTAATACATGATAGTAGATCTACAAACATTATATTCTGTTGCTATGAGTTCTCCAAAATTTACATCTGTTACTGAAATTTGAGAAAATAAATGAATAAATTCTTGTTGACATATTTATGATGTCATTTTCTAGTTCCATGCAACATTCACTTTCAAAATAATTCACATTTTGTACATTCATCGTATTTCTTTCTTTCACTGACACTGTGTTCTGGGTTGCAGCACTCCTGGTACTTCTTTGAAGGTCTGGTGAAATCCATGGCTCATTATCTGATAGAGCACGGGAAGGTTAAGGTAGATCTGTTGTTAAAACCTTTTGTCCTTAAGCCATTTTCTTACAAACCTGACTCCTCCAAATCTTTTTCTTCTTTTCCCATCCTATGTCCAGGTCTCCAGGAACCAGCGCTTTTCTGCATCCTACTACCATGCAGTAGAGACTCTGGTCAATATGCTCATGCCACACATCACCCAGAAATATAAGGACAATCTCGATGCAGCTCGCAATGCCAACCACAGCCTGGCAATTTTCATTAAGGTTGCCACCAGCTGATTATTTTAGTTTATATATTATATTTATGTAGAAATATATCTCAAATTTTCTTTGTTTTGAGGTTAAACATTAAAACATTTTTACTACTTATTGTTTACTACTTATTGTTTATAAAAGACTGAAATGATAAGTTAATTCAACTTCAGAAAACTAAGTGGACTTTTTTTTTTATGAATCTTCGCTCATTATATTTGTTCCCTTTTCCACACAGCGCTGCTTCACCTTCATGAACAGAGGCTTTGTATTTAAGCAGATCAACAACTACTTGAACTGCTTTGTTCCTGGAGACCCCAAGGTTAGCAGGCATAATGTCTCTAAAGATTTGATACAGGTTGTTGAAGTTAATATAAAACCCTAAAATGTACATTCTCTTATGGTTCTTATAGACCTTATATGAATTCAAGTTTGAGTTCCTGCGGGAGGTCTGCAACCACGAGCACTATGTACCTTTAAATCTGCCCATGCCTTTTTGGAAAGGGAGAATACAGAGGTTCCAGGGTAAGAAAAAACCCACAATTTGCACTGACTTCATCTGTACATTGCATCTTTTTTTGCTCTTGCCTTGTCCTGCTAATAAATGCCTGCTACAGATCTCCAGCTGGACTACTTGCTGACTGATGACTTCTGTCGAAACCACTTCCTGGTGGGACTGCTGCTCAGGGAGGTGAGTAGTGCACTTCAGGAGTCCAGAGAGATTCGTCAGATTGCCATCCAGGTGCTCAAGGGACTGATGATCAAACACACGTTTGATGACCGCTATGCTTCCAAAGTAAGTTCTGCAGCTCTTGGCCATTATCCTTCTCTTTGGCCATCTGCTGCATTTCCATAAAAGTACATGTTAGATGTAGTTTAACCAGTGACACAATAATTTTTCAATTTGACAGCTTTAAATAATTTAACTCAAGGTTTGTTGTTGCAGAGCCAGCAGGCCAGACTTGCCACTCTCTACCTCCCTCTGTTTGGCCTGCTTCAGGAAAATGTTTATAGGCTTGACATCAAAGAGTCGTTGCCTCTCGACAATCGTAATGTAAATGTAAGCCTGACACCTAGTGGTTGTAAACTGAATGGTAGCTTGCATCTGTAATGCATGCCTCAGTTCTGCAGTTTCTCTCTTTATTGTTTTTAAGTGAGAACTAGAGCACTTCACAATAGTAATTTTAGTTTCTGTCCCAGAACCCACGAGAGGACTCTCCGGTACAGACCTCTATGGTGACTCCTCAGAAACCTGGCAGCTGCATAGAGAATGCTCTCCACAAAGATGTGTTTGGGGTCATCTCTGGAACAGGTGTTTCCCTTCTTATAAGGACATTACTGAGTAATAAAAATGTGTCGAATTTAAATAATTTCAAATAAATAAAATAAAATAAAAGTTGTAAATAATTTTCCAATATCATTTAAAATGAATAAACTGTATCTTTAATCATAGTTTACTGATCTTGCACCATGATCACAAATGAAAAATGTGTTTTTGTGGTTTTACTTTTGGTGAAAAACTTTTTTTTTTTTTACGGTCCCTTTGCAGCCTCTCCTCAAAGTTCCACTACCAATGCCAGCTCAGTTCACCATGCAGACTCCAGAGGCTCTCTGGTCTCTACCGACTCTGGGAACAGCCTGCTGGGCAAGAGCAGTGACAGGACCAACTCTCTGGAAAAGGTAGGTCACCACTTGTGACATGGCAGTTCCTTAGGCACATTTGTTGTTGTTTCTTCTTGATGAAATAAAGATGAGTCAGTGGCATAGAGGAATGTTAACATCACTCTTAAAAAGTCAGACTAACCTGATTAGGATCGGGATTGATAATAAGGGTTGATTAATAAGGAGAATAAAATATTTACTGGTAGTGGAAATTCTGGCCTTATTTGAACTTTGAAAAAGATATAGTCTGCAACATAGAAAACATTTCTCAAGGTTAACAAAAACATAACTATTTGAGAACTACTCAGGTAGACTAGATTAAACCTGGACATCCATCCATCCATTCACTTCCGCTTATCCTTATCCTTATATTATATGTCCTAAACCTGGACATATAATATAAAAATTGCCCCACCTCCCAGAAATATCCAGAGACGGGGAAATAAAAGCCTTGTTTCACGACACAGACTACATTACTCTGTTGGAGTCATAATAGTAACAAAGCAAAAGCAGCATCTGTAAGCTTCAAGGTCTCTTGAGATGTGTCTTTATTTTCTATTATTTTCATACCCACACCCTCCTCCCACCAGTGCTCCATCACATCCCAACTCCACCAAAAGGAGAGATCTACCAGGAGGCATTCTATCAATGTGCTCCCTTTCTCTTTTGAACCCGAACACCAAGTCGCACCTCATCTTAATCATGCAACCAAGCGGGTCACCGTGGACTTCTCTCTCCTCACTGTTCCCCTGCTTGACCTACTGCAGGACAATGACAGTGATTATAACAAGGCAGCTCCAGCCCAGAGGGTGGATGCAAATCATGAGGAAAACTTAACTTTACAAGTATTCTGTTTGACATGTGTGACCCCTTCAGAGTGTTTTTCATATTACAGAGTCTTGCAAATTTGGGATTTGTAAGATTGGCAGACCTTGTTGCTTTTTCACTTCTTTTCTTCTATGCTTTTTAAACCTGGAGTTGTTGTTACTGTCTGCAGTAGTAGACAGGTTTTTAAAGAAAGTATTTGACATTTTTCATCTTTAAAGTTTGGTTTGTTTGAGTGATGGGTTATATCTCTTAAAAGGTTGATTTTTTTCAGTACTCCAAAGATTGATAAGTAAAAGTTTTCTCTACTTTGTTCCTGTGCATCAGAATCCGTGTGCATCAGCCCTGGGCAGCACTGTGCTGCGCTCTGACAAACTGGACCAGGATGAAATCAAAAACCTGCTTATGTGTTTTCTGCATATCCTAAAGAACATGTCAGAGGGTAGGAACCATGCGATTCATATGTGATTTTGACACGTGCTATGGTCTAATAATCTAATTTCATGTAATTTCATCATACTCAGAGGCCCTATTTACTTACTGGAGTAAAGCTGCTTCCTCAGAGCTAATGGACTTCTTCACACTGATACAGTAAGTAGAGAAAGAACCTTTTTATTATTACATACATGTAAGAGTGACTGAACATTTTCTAAATAATATTTTTTCTAGATAACATAAACAAGATAGATTGTATTAGCAAGTCTTAGATGTCATAGTACGCAAATTAATGAACATTGACTTCGCTAGCGTCACTAAAAGATATTGACAAAGGGATGCTTGCGCCAGTTTGTGGACTACTGTTCTGCCTTGAGTTTAGAATTTCATTTGTTGCCATTTGGGATTTTTTTGTTTAGAGCCATAATTGATCATGTTTGTTTGCACCAGCCTGCTGGACTTTGCCATCTGCTAGTTAGCTTGACCACAAAGAACTTTCCTGGATTGAAGAGGGAATAAGACCATACCCAAACTCTGTCTGCCTTTATCATATTCTTAAGACATTTGGTGTAACATCTCGAGTTTGCAGCAACAAATCCAAGGGTTGTTTGAAGATTCCGATACAGATCCAGCTCTGCAGGGGTCAAATGGGTACTAGAAGTAATAACTTGTGAATAATAAAACCTGTGTTTTTCCTGCAGAGTCTGCCTTTATCAGTTCAGATACATGGGGAAGAGATTCATCGCCAGGTAGAGTCAATATTGTTCTGTCTGCTGATTTCTGAATTCTTGAACTTAAACTAATTTTGCCGGCATTCCATGCAATTAGTGATTCATATCTAAACAGAGACTTTTAGCGAATCTTCTGTAACTCTTTTAACTGTTGGATTTTGATTTGTTCTTTGATCTTTAACATTGCTGGCAAGTTGTTTTATGGCCCCTCCCTGGGTAAGATTGCGATCTTACATTCGCTGGTTGCTTAACAAAATGCATGACATTCTTTTTGCCTCTGTCAGTTTAAAACCACATTACATATTAGACATTTATTTATTTCATGTGTCCATGGTTTATTTTGTACAACCATTAACACCCTCCGTAAGTGATGCTTTAAAATAACAGTATTATACCCTTTTGTGTGTCTTTATTCTGACTTAGCTGTAAGTAAGTCATTCAAGCTTGAAGTTAATAGTACTTCTCCGTTTTCCAACAGGATCCATGAGGAGGCGGGGCCTGTAGGTCCTGACAGGAAATCACTGACTCTCCCTGTGTCTCGTAACAGAGCTGGGATCCTCCACGCCCGTCTGCAGCAGCTGGGATCTCTGGAGAATGCTCACACCTTTAGCAACAGTAGGCCTGCCCACCTGAAATGGATGATTAAATGGATGCTTTCCACATGTCAACAAAAAACAAATAAACATATAAATAAAAATACCCAATAATTTAGTCTAAATTTGGTAATGTAGTAATATTTGTTAGTTTATCCGACTTAGCCATCTAGTTGCCCGGCCACAATTTACTTTGTACAGTACTGGTTTAGCAAAACTTGCACATGATGATCACCTAATGGCTCTTCACCTAAACTGTCAAGGTCAAGCTCAACGTGTCTCTTTTTTTGTTTTATAGACAATAATCTATGAATTGCAATCGGTGCTGGATAAGATATGTCACTAATGATCTGGTTTTTTCCATCTGTCTTGGAATTCTGTCCCACCATTTGGCAAAACCAAAAGGAAGAATTTGTGATCGACGTTTTTTGAGTTTAGAGGTCTTGTTTGCTAATTTGATAACTAATCTTAAGGCAATGTTTTGTGTTCTTTTTGTGTTTTCAGTCAGAATTTTTTCCAAGTACAGATGTACACGATTCCTAAAAATCATCCCACATCTGTCTTAAATGTTTTGAACATGAGCAGAAACTACACATACATTTAAAGTATTACAGGTAACAAATGAAATGATCACTGATGTGATAATTATTCACCAAAACAAACGACACAGAACTCTAAGAACTTTCCATCTTCAAAAAAGATGAAGAAGTCGTTTTATTTTGTTGAATCATTAGGTAACGCTTTTATTCTCTAAAAACATTTGAAGAATGGCATAATGCCGGAATGCCGGAAACAAAGTGTTTGATGTTCCAATACTCAGGTGAAACCTACATGTAGGGTTACCAGCATATAAAAGTAAATCATTAACGAGACAGAATCAGTATGAAGGCAAAGCACACATAACAGATTTTGAGATAGCATGATGATGCATATGAGGCTATACTTTTTAAGTACACGAACTACAACTGTTCTTGTAGAAAAACACCCCTAACCTTCAAAAAATTGATTTATTAAGAGTTAACTGGGTTACAACCAAGACTATTAAACTAAAACTTCTTACGTCATTTAATTTCAGTAATAATGACACAACTGAAAATATACACATTTGTATTATTTTTATCTAGTCATTTGTAATAGCGCACTTTGATGTTTTATTTGTAATCATTTGGGCAAGAATGTACTGTATATACTTAAGAGTATGTATGAAATGTTATTTCCTTCTTTCAGGTTGAATTTCAACATACTTAAGAGCAGTGTTGGTCAAGTTACTTGAAAAAAGTAATCAGTAACTAATTACTGATTACTTCCCCAAAAAAGTAATCCCGTTACTCTACTTATTTTCAAAAGTAATTAATTACTTAGTTACTTTTTAAAAACACGATTTACAACCTGAAGAGGTGATAAAGCGATAGATCTTTCAGCCCAATTCTACTTTTTCTACATAATCCATCATACAAAATGTAATCAAATGGAAAAGTCCCTTTTTAAAACTTGTTTTAGTCTTTTAACTTTATGCATCAAGCAAAAATTTTCTGCACATTCCAGCACATAAAATATATATATTTTTTGTGTTTACACTCACTCTTTCAAATAGATGGAAGTAAAACACAGCAGAAAATAAATAAAATCAAAGACTAGCGGTCCTTTTGCTCTATTTTCACCTGTGAAGCAGGAGTAGGGTAGGCGGAGGTTTACCCTGGTGCAGGTGTGCCACAGCGGTCAGTTGAAGAATCCGCGAGTTTCTCTGTGAATTTCCCATTACATCATAGCGCACTCTGTGCTTGCTCGGAAGTTTAGGGGTTTTTTTTCGCTGTAAAAAGACGTTTTCTTCCCACGCACAACGGACACTAATGTTTTTGTCACTTTTTATGGAATCAAACTTAAAGTAAGGTCAGTACTTCCACGCTTTAAACACTGCACGCTCATACTCTCTCCGCACTCGATATATTATCCATTGTTGATCTGCACACAGCTGTTGTCAGGAACGTCGCACTCGCATACATCATGGTCATGAGACATTCTCGCAAAAACAATCACGGTTTTAGTAATGCAGTAACGCAGCGTTCCTACGGTAAAGTAACGGTAATCTAATTACCGTTTTTGCAATAGTAATCCCTTACTTTACTCGTAACGCGTTACTGCATTACTGCGTTGTAACGCAGTAATGCCCATCTCTGCTTAAGAGTATACTTAAAGTACTTTGTGTGTAGCTGGGGTGAGTTGTACTGTGCTAAAATGTGGTCATGAAGCAGATGTTGCTGTAGTTAAAGTAGGATATTATTATTTTTATTTATTTTTTGGACCTAAATAATATTGTGTTTATCTGAATTAATGTAGCCATGCTTTCCCGAGCTCTTGGCGGCAACGGATTTGTCTTTTACTGACTCCTTCGTGGAGTTGGTAATGGTGACAAAATCAACAACAGGTCTGCCATACAAGCACATGGCAAATCGTTATTGGTCTTAGATTTAAATCAATAAAGCAATCAACGGTATGCACTTTTTTTTATGGCTCTAATAAAACATTATCCCTATCGGAGACGTAGCTTATGTGCTTTCTGTGCAGCGTACTCCTGTACGGAAGCAGATGTGAGCAGCCAGTGCCTTCTAGAGGCCAGTGTGTCTACAGAGGTCTGTCTCACTGTGCTGGACACACTCAACACTTTCATCATGGGGTTCAAGGTATTAACAGAGACAGCCAACATGACACCCTTTATTATCTTGTTCAGCCAATAAACTCACCTTCCCTGTTTTCAGACCCAGCTGAATTCAGATCTCGGTCACAATCCCCTGATGAAGAAGGTTTTCCAGGTGCACTTGTGTTTTCTGCAGATACCTCAGTCTGAGGCTGCTCTCAAACAGGTCTTCACCTCACTTAGGACTTTCATTTACAAGGTGAAATATCTGGCTCCATGTTTATTGACTTAACATGGTGGGACTGAATTGGGTTGTAACCCATGTGGTTGTGATTTTTTGATATCCACAAATCGACTTGAAATGACCCCACAGCTGCATTTCCATGTCCTCTAGTTCCCTTGCACCTTCTTTGATGGCCGGGCCGACATGTGTGCCTCTCTCTGCTACGAAATTCTCAAGTGCTGTAACTCCAAGCTGAGCTCCATCCGTAGCGATGCTGCCCACCTTCTCTACTTTCTTATGAAAAGCAATTTCGACTACACAGGTCGTAAATCCTTTGTACGAACACATCTGCAGGTAAGCGTTTCATTTGTGTCTGTCTAAATTTGACATTTTATATGTTTAGTTATCTTTTCTAGTCTCTTATCTACATACAATATCTATGATGTATCTGCTAACCATGTTAATGATGTATCTCTGTATTATACAGGAAGTCTTAAATGTAAGGTTCTCTTTACTTGTTGATATTCACCCAGGTGGTAATTGCTGTCAGTAAGCTGATTGCTGACGTCATCGGCATAGGGGGTATGCGCTTCCAGCAGTCTCTCTCCATCATCAACAACTATGCCAACAGTGACAAGACCATCAAGGTGAGGAATGAGAGTTTGGTAGGCAAAATAAATTACCAGGAGAACTGTTGAATAATTTTAGTTATTTCTGTCCCAAACTGGTTGATTAACACTTGGTCAGATCATACATGTAGCAATACTATCTATTACTAGGTGGCTAAATAGATACATTTCAGCCTTTCTCCTGTTTTGGGGCAAACACATTTCAGTACCCGCTTCTTGCTTTATGTAATCCTGAACATTCACTTTGTTGTTGTGCTTGGGCAGCACACGGCATTTCCTTCAGATGTGAAGGACCTAACAAAACGCATCAGGACAGTGTTGATGGCCACAGAGCAAATGAAAGAGCACGAAAATGACCCGGAAATGCTGGTAGATCTCCAATACAGCTTAGCCAAGTCCTACACCAGCACCCCTGAGCTCCGTAAAACCTGGTTGGACAGTATGGCTCGCATCCACAACAAAAATGGGGATCTTTCAGAGGTATTTTACGTCACATTGAATACCTTGACTTTTTTTCTGCAGTAAGGCATTGTTGTGTTAGCCTCTGACTCGTGACTGTGTCTGTGCTTTTCACCTGCAGGCAGCTATGTGTTACGTGCATGTTGCCGCTCTGGTGGCTGAGTATCTCTGGAGGAAAGGTAAGTTGAGGATATAATGTAAGGTCTCCTGGCAGTTAACTATTTGAACTCCAACATGTTTTTATGATCCTCATTTACAGAAGCCATAAAATGAATCTCTGATAAACATTACAGCAGTAGAGGAACATTATCCTGGAGAGATTGATTGATAAACTCAATAAAGCCTATCAACTCTCTTGTTGTTTTCAGATGAAAGATTTATGGAACGTGATAAAAAGCTATATGTCAGAGCTGGGGATGTCTGCAATCGAAATTGTAAATTGTATACACTGCAAATTCCTCCAACTCTAAAACCATCAATAATTGTAAAAAATAAACAGTGTGAGTCATATTCCTTCATCGTTATCCTTCAAGTTTATGGTCCTGTGCCGTGTTTTTGCTGCCCTCTTCTTGACAGAGAACTCAGATGTTGTTCCTGGGAAGTGCTTTAGTTACCACTGGGACTACTGTTGCCTTCACCCTTCACGTCTCTCTCTCTCTTACTACACACACAAAAGTGGAAGAAACGTGGCTGATAATTAGTGAGTGTCACAACCAGGATGAAAGAACAAACAAAGGTCCACGAGTACATCAGGAATTTATCTGCAACTGATAGTGTGCTTAGTGAATACCTCGGGCAGCAGAAGCCCAACAAAGAAGAGCAGGAAGGAGAGAGGAACCATCAGGGAAGGGCAGGCCCCTGCATGGCATGTACCACTGGCTGATACTAACAAATCCTACCAAATCCTAAAAGCTGGACTGAAAGACAACACAGAGTGTTGACAACAAATCATGGCAGCACGGGAACAAGCTCTGAGCACAAGATTCATAGAGGCCCGGCCTATTACACCAGGCAAGACCCCAGGCGCAGGCTGTGCAAAGATGCCCCTGAGACAGTCTAGCACATAACAGCATGTTAAATCTCTAAAATCCTGTAAGTTGTGGGGTCTCCATGGATCAGACTTGTTTGTCCAGCACATCCCACAAGATCCGCTTGGACTGAGATCTTGCCAACCTCAAACCATTCCTGAACTATTTTTGCATCATGGCAGGGCACATTATCCATGGCCATAGCCAACCGGGAATATAATTTCTATGACAGGGTTGACATGTCAGTGGTGATAGTTTTATGCTTGATCAGTGTATGGTTCTACTGGACCTCTCTGTGTACCTTTTTTATGCCAGGCATGTTCAGGCAGGGCTGCTCAGCTTTCCGTGTCATCACTCCGAACATTGACGAGGAAGCAGCCATGATGGAGGATGTTGGGATGCAGGATGTTCACTTCAGTGAGGTCAGACTTTGTTTCGATCTTTTCTGAATGTCAGCCTATAGAATGTCCTTTTAAAATTAGTCATTGGCTTCAGGAATATTTTTTGGCAGTAACATTAGTCCCACTTCTCAGTGTCTTTTCTAAAGATAAGATAATTGTTTGTGTTCAGGAGGTGCTGATGGAGCTTTTGGAGGAGTGTGCTGATGGCCTCTGGAAGGCAGAGCGTTATGAGCTCATTGCTGATGTCTATAGGCTCATCATTCCCATTTATGAACAGCGCAGAGACTTTGAGGTGAGCTGCACACTGAGCACAAGTTATAGACAAAGTGTGAATTGTTCTGTTCTGTTTATATAATGCCAATTCACAACAACAGTTTGTAAATAAAAACATCTGCGTGACAGTTATTGCAATTTGTTTTTGAATTTGTCAAACAGAAACTGGCACACCTGTATGATACACTCCACCGTGCGTATACTAAAGTGATGGAAGTAATGCATTCTGGCAAGAGACTGCTTGGCACATACTTCAGAGTGGCCTTTTTTGGACAGGTAAGTTTACAAAATAAAAAGTAAATAAATATGATAATAATTAAAATTTTCAGTTCAGCTTAAATTTGACTCAGTCCACAGTTTTCATAAAAGCATGGTGTTTATCTTATTGTTTTTTGCAGTACAGTACCACATACACACATACACTCTCTGATACAGCTGAACCTTTGAATCTAAGTGGAACGCTACTATTTTTTAAATTGAGATTTCTCTTCTTTTCCCTTTCCTTTTAAGGCTGCGGTAAGTGAATAGAGGAGTCCTCCTCTATGTCAGTGCCTTTTTACGTTGTTTAAGGGCTAATGAGTATTTGTAAAATTACTATCAAGTATCTGTAGATTTTTAAGCTTTTGTTGCTTCATGATTTTTTTTGACCAGTAGTGGATAAAACATGGTTACTTAGTCACAAAACAATAGCTGTTGTGTGACTTTTATATCATTTTATCTCTTTTCTGTTTCATTTGCAAATCCAGAAACTCATCCTTTTTTCAGTCATATGTGATCCCATTGTGATTTTTCCCCTGAAAGTTTCTTTTGATTAATTGATGAAGCCTTTCCAACTATTACTTTTATACAAATAAACCACAGTGTAACTGTTACGCATGTATGAATATATTAAATTAAATAGATTGTATCTGTTTGACTCGGTAGTGATCAGCTAATGTTTGCTGTGTTTGATAACTTTCTGTATATAATGACAATCACTTAAAGTGGACCTATTGCTCATATGTATATATGTATATATATATGGGCGGTTAATCCTTCAAGCTCCGGTCCTCTACCAGAGGCCTGGGAGCTTGAGGGTCCTGCACAGTATCTTAGCTGTTCCCAGGACTGCGCTCTTCTGGACAGAGATCTCCGATGTTGTTCCCGGGCTCTGCTGGAGCCACTTGCCTAGCTTTGGAGTCACTGCACCTAGTGCTCCAATTACTACTGGGACCACTATTACCTTCACTCTCCACATCTTCAGCTCTTCTCTGAGCTCTTTGTATTTCTCTAGCTTCTCGTGTTCCTTCTTCCTGATGTTGCTGTCATTTGGAACCACTACATCGATCACTGCGGCCGTCTTCTTCTGTTTGTCTACCACCACTATGTCCGGTTGGTTAGCCACCACCATTATGTCCGTCTGTATCTGGAAGTCCCACAGGATCTTAGCTCGGTCATTCTCCACCACCCTTGGGGGCATCTCCCATTTTGACCTCGGGACTTCCAGGTTATACTCGGAACGTCATAACCAAGTGGCCGACATAGTGTACAGGAACATCTGTGCCATGTATGCCTTGCCTGCTAGCATCTTGCACCCTGCTGTTATGTGCTGGATTGTCTCTGGGGCATCTTTACACAGCCTGCACCTGGGGTCTTGCCTGGTGTGATAGACCCCAGCTTCTATGGATCTTGTGCTCAGTGCTTGTTCCTATGCTGCCATGATTAGTGCCTCTGTGCTGTCTTTCAGTCCAGCTTTGTCCAGCCACTGGTAGGATTTCTGGGTATCAGCCACCTCCTCTATCTGCCAGTGGTACATACTGTGCAGGGGCCTGTTCTATGGAACGCCAGGACTGCCATAATGAATTAATTAAATACACCATTAAATAATTAATTAAATGTGGCAATAATTAATTAAAATTGGAATTAATTAATTAAATAAATAGTTATGATATATGTAATTAATTAATTATTGACACATTTAATTAATTATTTATGTATTTCACGTTTTAATTAATTATTGACACATTTAATTAATTAATTATTGACATATTTAATTAATTATTTATGTATTTCACATTTTAATTAATTATTGACACATTTAATTAATTATTTATGTATTTCACATTTTAATTAATTATTGACACATTTAATTAATTATTGACACATTTAATTAATTATTTAATGATATATTTATTTATTTCATTTTGGCAGTCCTGACGCCTGGCTCTCATCATGAAATAATTTTATCTGTCAGCCTCACCCATCAAACTCAGGGGGCGGGGTTAACGCTGATCGAGTCAAAACCATTGCTTTGGCCTGGTGGCCATTGTTTCTAGCACACAACAACCGGCATGTGGAAGCTAACAGAACTGAGCTTTGAAAAACCCTGTTTGTGTGTTACCAAATACCGTTTTAATATTTTTTTAGCCGAGAATGTAGTGGTTTAATCTTCATGTGTCTGGTCGGTTTGTCAAGATACAGCCTCTTTGCAAAAGTGTTTCGATGATTTCGGAGATGTCGTCCCAGTCTCACGGCAAAGCGTGGGATAGACCCGCTCGTCTCGCAAGCAATCCCACCGACAAAGCGCAGGCCCCGGTACACAGCTGTAGTAACCCCCGCTGACTTCTTTTACTGAGGTTATATTTATCGGTGTTTTATTTCCTGATGTTCTTATGTGTCCTACGTGTTTCAGTCGCCAATTCTGAATTATAACTAACATTAAAAACATGTTTAAGGAGGAGAGAGAGCAAATAAATCTGTTTAACATCTGATCTTTGGGTTTTTGTTCAGTAATCAGCGTGACCTGTGTATAAACACATAAAAGAGATAACGTTGGTGTTTCCGTCATGTAGTAACTGCTGGCTTTAACTGTACAAAGGTTGTTCGACACTATGAAACACATACAGACTTCATGATGTTCGGCTAATATTTTTATTGTGAATATTAATCATGCTGACCTCGCTCTGTACACCACGCAGCGAGGTCAGCATATCCACGATATCCTCAGCTCCATGAGTTAACACAAAGTTTCCCAGCTGACTATCTAACTGCCAACTATTCCAGAGACGTGAAAATATACAGCATAAAGAAAAGTGTAAGAGACTCAGCAGCAGATTAGAATAACAGTTATACATTTAATAAATCACCAAATGAATCCAAGAAACGAGCAAACCTGTTCCGACAATTTGAGTTTGTATTCCCTCAGCTGCAGACTCGCTGCTGTTTAAATGTTTGAAAAGGAAGATTAGATATAAACAAACGTCAAACATAGACTCAGTCTGCCTTCACATTTGATATGAGGCCAGCACGTATAGTGGCCTCAGCAGGCTATTACTGAAATACACGTGCTATATCATAAACTATGATATAAATAGGGAGGTCCTATTAACATGTTTAGTTTTAAAGGACACCTTCCTGCCTTTAGTCTCATTCATGAGCAGTATTAGTTTTCTTCTAACATCCAGAAGTCTGCACAATGTGTTTCATAGTTTGTAACAAGCCTTTGACAGGTAAACATAACATGACCGAAAAAGCAAAAAAAAAAAAAAAAAAAAAAAAGAGAGAGAGAGTGTTGACATAAGAAGAGAAAATTCTCTCAATTATGGAGACAGGCAAATGGTTCATTTATGTTTGATGTGTGTTTATTCCTCCCTAAATATCGTCGGTGAAGTTTGCCATGCACGTCAGATTTTCCTGCGCATTTTTATACCTCTGCCAACAGAGAGAGAGGAAAAAATCACATTCTAACAGACAGCTGGTGCTTAGAATACAGTTGAATAACTATTAAAAAACAGATGATATTTAGATGATAGTTCAGTCTAACACATGTGCCAGTGAACCATTAAACGTCTGTGAAACTATGCAGTTATGAAACGTAACTTTAACCTCAGCCAAACCGATTTGCTCAGTTGTAAATAAAACAGCGAAGTAAACGTGACCCGACAGACAGAACCTGAGTGAATGAAGTCCAGCGTTTAACCACTGAGAGCTAAAACTCAGCAGAGGTTTCAAAGCTGTGTGCCGGTGATTGGACATCAGCCGCTGATAAAGCTGGCTCGCCTATAAAGTGCTCTGTAAGGAAACAAGCTCCAGCAGCTCTGCGCTCGGGGAAAACACTATATTTACTTATCTTGTGCAGTTAAACTGTGACTATCACCAGGTAACTAGGCGTGTTTCTTGAATTAGCAGCAGGTGTTAAACAGCTGACAGATGAGGAGGAGGATGCATGCAGGTAAACTGAGGGTCTGCTGAGCTGATCGCTGGTTTCATGAGAAAAATGTCAGCTCGTTCTTTATGTTACAGAAGCACAGAGACACAAGACCAGGCGGAAAGAGACGATCGTTCGGTGAAAATGAGAATCTGCGAATGCAACATGTGGAACACGGAGAGTGGAATATGTAAACAAACCGGTTAATGTACCCCCTCGGTGCGCTCTGCATGCTAACTGTTAGCAGAGCTAGTGAAATCTCTGAAAACATCTGAGCACTTTTGCAAACATGTTCTATGTTGACAACCTGACCAGACATACGGCGCGACATTCTAAAACACTGTTAAAAGTGTAGCTGGTGACAGAAAAACGGCCTGTGATTTGATCTGCATTCTGGGATAACTGGCTGCCCCAAGTCTACACAAGCAATCGATTATCTAGGATCGACCTGTTTTGACTTACTTTGCACGGCAACCAATCAAATGTTAGAGAAGCTGCATGGGCAGCGTTAACCCCGCCCCCTGAGTTTGATGGGTGAGGCTGACAGATAAAATTATTTCATGACGAGAGCCAGGCGCCAGGACTGCCAAAATGAAATAAATAAATAAATATATCATTAAATAATTAATTAAATGTGTCAATAATTAATTAAATGTGTCAATAATTAATTAAAATGTGAAATACATAAATAATTAATTAAATGTGTCAATAATTAATTAATTAAATGTGTCAATAATTAATTAAAATGTGAAATACATAAATAATTAATTAAATGTGTCAATAATTAATTAATTACATGTGTCATAACTATTTATTTAATTAATTAATTCCAATTTTAATTAATTATTGACACATTTAATTAATTATTTAATGGTGTATTTAATTAATTCATTATGGCAGTCCTGGCATTCCATACTGTCCTTCCATGATGGTTGTATGTAGGGCTGCTCAATTAATCGAATTTTAATCACGATTACGATCTGGGCTTTCAACGATCATTAAAAATGACTGAGCCGATTATTAGCCCCTCCCTCATGCTTTACTCTCGCGCTGCTCCATGTGGCAAATCAAGCGCACTGCTCTGCATTTCGAACACGCGTCACAACAATTAAGAGGACCCGAGGGAAGCTCGGAAAGCTAAGCAGAAGTTATTTGGAGAGGAGTGGACTGCCGTTGGTTGGTAAAAAAAAAAAACTTAAGTGGTGTGGAAACATTATGGCTTCGCGGAGTCAGACGTGGATCAAGTAGACACAGTGTGTAAACTTTGCTATGGTGTCGTAGCTGCACCACAGAGCAACACTGCAAAGTTCACATTTTTCATTTATTTCTTATATTGCAAACATTTGCACTGTTATCAGTATTTGCACACTATTTTATATTATTTTTTAAAGTCATTATTCAATACATTGTTATTGTTAAACCTTTAAAGCCGGTCAGAGCAGCATGCTCGTTTTGTGTAACTATTTTTAAATCCCTGTAGAACCTGAACGCTAAGCTAGCACAATAAATTTTTTTCCATATGAAACCAGAGGAGTCGTACTTACTTCTTATGCCATCAGCTTGTCCTCGGTCACGGTTTCCTTCCACATATAGCTTTGCAAAAATTGCATAAAAAGAGCTTGCAGGAACAAAAACATAATATTCCAGAAACACACTTTGCCGATCCGATCAGCTGTTCTTAACACTTCCCACATTGAAAAAGACGTCAACGTGAACTATCGCAAGTGACGTCGTTTTTGCGGAAAATGTAGTTTTTTACTTGTAGGCCTTAGAACTCGAATTGCACTGCTGGAAATAGTTTATTTTGATGCACATGCACATTCTTTGCAAATTTGCATCATAGGATTGTTTTTTTGTTTTTCCTGCAGTATATAAAAATTGCTGTATCTCCAAAAATAAAACTATGAAGACACTCAAAATAAATTTCCTGTTGTTGTAAACTATTTTTTGCAACTTTTTTGTATTTAAAGTTTTGAGGGATAAACCTCTTAAATTTCTCCAAGTAGAAATATATGTAAAAAAACAAAACAAAAACGATTTTCAATTTTTTTGTAGTTTATTGCACTTTTTTGCAATTAATGTAGTTACTATGGACTTAATGCATACACATTTTTTAAATATGGGCTATAACAGTTGTATTGATGTATAGCAACTTGAAATGCTCCCACAAATGGCACTACAGCATGTAAAAAAATAATATAAGCTCTGGCGGACGAAATAAATATCGTCAAATAATCGTGATCTCAATTTCAGTGAAAATAATCGTGATTATCATTTTTGCCATAATCGAGCAGCCCTAGTTGTATGTATGTATGTGTGTGTGTATGTGTGTGTGTGTGTGTGTGTGTGTGTGTGTGTGTTTATGCCCGCCCCTCCCAGAGCCTGGTTCTGCTGGAGATTTCTTCCTGTTAAAAGGGAGTTTTTCCTTTCCACTGTCGCCAAAGTGCTTGCTCATAGGGGGTCATATGATTGTTGGGTTTTTCTCTGTATGTATTATTGTAGGATCTACCTTACAATACAAAGCGCCTTGAGGTGAATGTTGTTGTGATTTGGCGCTGTATAAATAAAACTGAATTGAATTGGTGTGGCTCAGGTGGTTGACAGGTCATCTACCAACTGGAAGCTTGGTGGATCAATCTCGGGCCTTGGTTACAATCCTGAGTTTCTCCGAATGTGTCCATTGGCACGTCATTTAGCATGACAATGCTAAACAGTGTTTATGTATACATAAAGGGCTGTATGAATGTTTGTGTCACTGGCTTTGAGTGCTCAATTTACGTATGTCATTGTTAACACCTTTAAACAAATACAGACTGCTTCATACATCTTGTAATTGAAAGAATAAATCCACCATCAAGTCATACAATAAGGAGACAGTGCAATACTAACAATGTGGAGCTTGAAATGAGCACAATAGGTCCACTTTAGTGCACAGATATTTTCTTTAACCATCTTATTTCAGTTTTGATCTTTCCGTTTTGCAGGGGTTCTTTGAGGATGAGGATGGAAAAGAATACATCTACAAGGAGCCAAAGTTCACTCCACTGTCTGAAATTTCCCAGAGGCTCCTGAAGCTATACTCTGACAAATTTGGCCAAGAAAATGTCAAGATTATTCAGGACTCTGGCAAGGTGTGATCACATTCTTGTATGTTTGGATGACAGTATGATAGACCTTAGTAACTGTGCAATAATCTTGAGAAAACGTTATTGTAGGTTTGACGTACACATTGCATTCAGAGAATTCACAATGAATCCGGTTGTTCAGTCTGACGTCACTAGCCGTGTCTGGACCTAAACTCCGCTGCAGGTCCATATATCAAACGATCACTGTGGCATTACTGAGAGTTGAAAAACTGTCTAAAGTCTTTCATCTGTAATAAAATGATCAGCGTTCTGCTCTACCAGGTGTAACAATTGAGTTAAATATCCAGGCATCCATGAAAACGGAATTTATGACATTTAACGGAGTTAGAAGTTAGCAGGGAGTTAGCTTGCTAGCTTCTATCTAAATACAATATAGCATGTCCTGACTGCGGGGTTTGGGAAACAAATTAAAACGTACAGCTCTGTTATCACTTCCAGCATAAATGAAGACAGAAAACTAAAAAGCAGTGACGTTTGTAGGGTTACTGAAGTTGGGCTAGCTGGTATATAATGATGTGCTACGTGACCGCTAGCGACACAGCTATGTTAGCATAATATAAACAAGCTAACCTTTTTTCCACTCGATAAAAGTTAACGTGAGTGTTCTCGGTGGTCACGAACAAATGTAATCGCATGGCAGGATGCTATAAAAGGACCAAACTTCAGCCAGGAGAACAACTGAGATAATCCATCCATAATACGAGGTTAGTCATTCGTATACTGCTGCATGGGCTGGGCTGTAGTTACATCCTAAGGTGTTAAAAACTGAGCTTAAATAAATGATTAGCGGTAATAAAAGCCGAGGGAGGTCAACAGTGATCACTGACTGTTTTAGGAGCTTTTTGAGATCAAATAGAAGAAAATACATAACATTAAACATGTTAACAACACAAAAGCCATATTAAACGCAGACTACTTTAGACCCGGAAGTAGGATTCGTTGCGTCATCACTGAACAACCGGATATATGAAGTCTTTTAAATGTGTTTTTGAATTTTTGGCTTCACATAGGAGACAAACCTCGTTCTCCTGCATGAATACATTTTCACCTATTCATCCACTACAATGTACTTTGTTGCTGTTTATGCTATATCTCCTGGTAACCTAAGCCCCAAAGGCAACCCCCCCTCCCCTCTCCACCACTGTGAATGTTTGTATTGAAAGCCCATAACTATGACAACTGTTGATGAGCCTCAATCTGATTTTGGGTCACATACCACATGCTGAGGGTTACTTTTGAAGTGCTGAAATGACTAGACCCATCTTGCTTAAGAATTATATGAATTCTAAAAAAAATCTCAATTTTTTAAAGTTAACCTTTTGATTTATTTTCAGCTTGCACTAACTTGACTTGTGAATGTTATTTTTTTTGCCAGTATAACCTGTAACCTCAAAAAAAAAAAATGAAGTTGTGTAGCTGCCAATACCTTTGTTAAAATGTTAACATGAGAGCATACAAAGCCAGTTGGGAAGAAATCAAATTTAATATATACCTTTTATATGTCAACTGCTATTGGGAAATACCGTTACTGGTTGGTTAACACACTAATTTATTTTCATGTAAGCTTATATAAATATTATGGATTGAACACAAATAAAATATGTTGAAAAACTTCTTCTGCATCCACAGGTGAATCCGAAAGATCTGGACTCAAAGTACGCCTATATCCAGGTAACTCACGTCACGCCCTACCTCGACGAAAAGGAGCTGGAGGACAGGAGGACAGACTTTGAGAAGAGTCACAACATCTGGCGCTTTGTGTTTGAAACACCGTTCACAATGTCAGGCAAAAAGCAGGGCGGGGTGGAAGAGCAATGTAAACGGCGGACTGTTCTCACCAGTATGTCATACAATCATGGAAACTATTTGTAAATGTAGAGTAGATTAACCAAAGTTTAATTATATCTTCCTGATTGTCAGCTGTTATTGTTGATTACAATTGCCTGTGTCTCACTTTAGTGCAAATCACTTAAAAATTTATGTAGATGAATTTAGTTCTGTTTCATTAGTGTACCAGTAAGTTCAGCTCTTACGGTGCCTTATTAATAATTATGCTAACCGATTTGGCTATAGTGGAGACTCCGCTGTGGCCATTTACAGTGTTTAGTATCCTGGTTATCAGCATTACTGTGGAATCTACTGTTTCTGTGTTCAAAGGACATTTTTATGTTGCTGCTAACAACAGATATTTTTTCTCTTCCAATCCTGTGTTCACTCAGCCACCCACTGTTTCCCATACGTAAAGAAGCGTATAGCAGTCATGTACCAACACCAAACCGACCTGAGCCCCATAGAAGTGGCCATAGATGAGATGAGTGCCAAGGTGAATGAGTTGCGACAGCTGTGCTCGGCCTCTGAAGTGGACATGATACGCCTGCAGCTCAAGCTCCAAGGCAGCATCAGTGTTCAGGTAGAGTCAAAATCACAAGGTTATAATCATTTTTACTTTATCAATAATTATTTTATTCCTTTAATCTAGAATTAACAGTCTTTGATTTTGATTTTCCAGGTAAATGCTGGTCCTCTTGCTTATGCCAGAGCCTTCCTAGACAGCAGCAGTGCCAAGAAATATCCAGACAACAAAGTCAAACAGCTCAAAGAGGTCTTTAGGTACTGACAGAAAACCTTCTTCCCACACACTATAACATACCCAATATTACTATGATTACATTGTGCCTTAGTGAGCTTGGCTACAGAGGTTGGATGCTTGTCTTTCTGTATTGCATATTACTATTTTGCGCTTGTTGCTTTGCTTTGAGTTTTTTCATGCCTCTCTTTTCAGGAAGTTTGTGGACGCCTGCGGTCAAGCGCTTAGCGTTAATGAGCGGCTGATTAAAGAAGACCAGCAAGAGTATCATGATGAGATGAAGGCCAACTACAGGAATCTGACGAGGGAGCTGTCGAACATCATGCACGAACAGGTGGAAACACTGAAGAATGATGAATGATCACAGCATGTGATGGCTCTGAGATGTGATGGCTCATAAATACTAAATATTTTATTTATAAAGTTTTGTTCCGTGTGAAGAATCAAGTTGCACCTGGTCTGTCAGATTTTATTTGTATTCACATCTGCATGCTTCATCTACACTTATCTACACATATATTTTGTTATGAGGGTGTTTGTCAATGTGTAATTTTATATTTAATTGCATGACAAAAAGTGCTGTCCTGTGCTGCAGTTCTTTTACTCTAACCTTTACTAACCATGTTTCCTATCTCCTTTATTTATGCTGTCATGAGCAGCTTGGATGGTAATAATGATTGTGTCATTGAATAAAGTAACTATTTACACTGTAAAAGATTTATAGACAGCAACTGACTAACAGCTTCATGGACATAGTATCTACATCCAAATCTGCCTTCCAAAAGATGAAATATAATGCCCTCTTGAATCAGCTTCATGTGTAGCCTGATATTTATGATTGTCCACGGATTAAGGAAAATTTTAAAAGACCATTCCTCACTAATTCCACCCCCCACCCCCTTTTAAACATAAAACAAACCAAACAGTATATTTTAAGCTTTCTAACAGTCCATTTCTTCCAGATAAACCCAGTGGACGATGGTCCAAGGAGCAATCTGTCTGCTTCTATGGGCATCTTCAACACCATCACTGGCACACCAACCAGTGCCAACCTACAGTACATGGCTCGACCACCATATTCTGACAGAGATGTTTGACATCAAAATTGCTGCTCCATCACTACTAATGACTGTTCAAACTACCTGAAGGATCAGCTGAAAACCTTCAAAGAATGTAACACTACCTAAAAACATAATTTGTTGCCGTTTTTTCTCCTATTTTATCTGATTTCAAAATTTTCCAGGTCATAACCTGAAAAATCAATTCAATGTTATTCTGTTTTATTTATATAGCGCCAAATCACTACAAGGTGCTTTATATTGTAAAGCAGAGACCATAAAATAATACAGAGGAAAAACCCAACCCCACTGAGCAAACAGTGGGAAGGAAAAACCTCTGACAAAACCAAGCTCAGGGAGGGGCACCCACCTGCCGCAACCAGTAAAGTGAAGTCACGTGTGCCCCCCATTATTCTTGTTTCCTATGGAGACTCCATTAAATACAGATGGTTTTCAAACCTTTACAACAATTGTAATATCATCATCTGTCTACATTTTCATGTGTTGTTTATTATTTTCTGTGTTCTAAGAGGGTTAAACCACATGTAACTTAACAAGCATGTATTAGTACTTCAGTTTACAACATGGTCTTATCTTGTTCTTCTGTCCAGAGCCCAACCCAAAGGATACTATCATGGGGTTAAAACTACAGACAAGGAAGTTAAGTGTTTTTGCATTTGACTACTTGATCTGTTTTTAACTCTGGGGATCTCATTCACATAGTGTGTTTGTAAAAGAGTGTTTAAGACAGTGAGACATCAGTGCCGCTGTAACCATTCATACATTCCTATGGTGCACAGTATTCTTTCTTCATTTTCCCCCATGTCTAGCTACAGCAGGAGCTTTTTTTGTAAAGTGCAGAAGCATCAGAGTTTATCTTTGATCTTTTCAAAGAATTATTCACTCTATTTTAGGCCATTGGGCATTTATAGAAACTATTTATAAAGCCAGATGAACCAAAATGTTTTAACCTATTTTCTGTAACAACATTATGTGCAATATTTTCTTTTTACAGTTACCAAGTCTATCCCCTCTTGCCAAAGACATGAGAGAAAAAGACAATGCAATGCAAGCCAAGAGTGTAACAATTTGTAAGCTACCCCTTTGTTTCTTTGTCATGACGCTTTTTATTATCTGTGAATTCAAATTTAAGACGAAACACAAGACTTTTACTAGATTATGATTCATCCATTCATTCATATGTTTAAGACAAATAAATAAAACATGTAATAATAATAATGCCTACTTCCTTGCTTTGCCTTTAATTGTTTTTTTATTGTATGAAAAACAGATCAGTGCTGAAATACCACACTCCTGTATCTGCAGCATATCAAATTTCATCAAAGTTTACAGCTGTTAAGAAAATAATTACCTAAATAATTCCATCTGTATCTGATGTGAGCATGACTTAGCACCAGTGTTGCTGGAACTCTTTTGCTGTCTGATTGCAAAGGTCACATCTGAGATATTTGCCAACAAGTCACAACTTGTGATTTGTCCTATCATGACTATTACTGAATAAAGAAGCAAAAAATGCAACAATGGTTCAACTTTATTCTAGACACAAAGATATATATGTATATATATGTGTGTATATATTAGGGGTGCAACGATACACAAAATTCACGGTTCGGTTCGGTTCGATACTTTGGTGTCACGGTTCGATATTTTTTCGATAAAAAAATGTTCATGCCTTTTTAATTTGTCATTTATTAAAATTATAAATATCAGGGCTCGCAAAATTTCAAAATTCCTGGTAGCCCTTCGGGCAGGGACTCTTCAGTTTTTTGTAGCCCAAAATAAGTTTAAGTAGCCCGAATAAAAAAGAGAGCAATTTTTTGATTGATGTTTTGTTTCCCGTTTTGTTTCCTCTACAATATTATACATTAAAGTATAATATTGTAACGGAAACAAAACATTAATCAAAAAATTGTTGAAAAACAGATTATAACATTGTATAAAAATTACAATCATCAACTCAAATACTTGGGTCTAATTGAACAGAAATTTCTATGAACTTGTAAGAACTGTGTAGGACATGAATCAGTCCAAGATCGAGGCCGTTTGCTTTTTGAAGTTTGCAAAGACTGCTAAATTTTTGCCAGTGGTAGTTCACTCTTTGCAACATAGTACGCTGTTTTGAACTGATTTTCAGGTTTATTTTTATCAGTTGCAAGGAGAGCTTAACTTCTGTCTCGCTAGCTTGCCCTGCGCTCAGTGAATCTGCGTTCGACTACTCCGCCTAGGCTGCACTGTCGAGCACAGATCCACTGAGCGCTCAACACAGACAGCATCGTCAGAAGGAAAGTTGATAAAATAAATTAAAAATTTTGTATTGTTCGATACATATGCGTACCGAACCGAGATATATATATATATATATATATATATATATATATATATATATATATATATATATGTATATATATATATATGTATATATATATTATATATGTATATATGTATATATGTATATATATGTATATATGTATATATGTATATATATGTATATATGTATATATGTATATATATGTATATATGTATATATGTATATATGTATATATATGTATATGTATATATATGTATATATGTATATATGTATGTGTATATATGTATGTATATATGTATATATGTATGTGTATATATGTATGTGTATATATGTATGTGTATGTATGTATGTATATATATATATGTATATATATATATGTATATATGTATATATATGTATATATATATGTATATATGTATGTATATGTATGTATATATGTATGTATATATATGTGTGTATATATATATATATATGTATATATATATATGTGTATATATATATATATATATATATATATATATATATATATATGTTATAGCGGTGTTGCCATCTTTGTGTTTAGAATAAAGTTTCTTTATTCAGTGTTGCTTCCCAGACCCACCCCTATACTTCTATCTTGGGGACGTAACATCGCTCTACTACTGTAGAGAAACTACTGTTTTTCTACTCCGTTGTATTTTGGCTAGATAAGAAAACACTATATATTAACCATATTTGTGAAATTATTTTGTTACAGCAGTGGAAGTAAGTGTTGTAGTATGGTACTAATAAAATATAATTGAATTTCATAGGGTCATTACTTACACAATGAAACTGACACTTCTTATTTTCATGCCTTCACCCTTTAAATTTTCTTCCAGGTTTTTCAGTGTGAAAGTGAATGGAGGCCTGTGCTGCCGTTGGTGGCACGCTCATTGAAGAGTTCATAGTGAATTTAGGATGCGACTCTGGTAAAATCCACACTGCCCTGTAAAAGGCCAACTAATCCTACCTGTAATCACTATTATCCCCCATCCCCTCAACAACACTACCACCACACCAAAAAAAAAAGCCCCCCACAAAAACAACCTCTCATTTGTTTGCTGAACAAACTCCTCATGGTGTCATTCAGAGATTTGGGCAGCTGAGCATCATGTGTCTGCTGTGAGTCCTGCTAATGTTTCATGCTGTGTGTGATTGCTTTAATGAAGTGCAGGAATTCATACTTCTATAGGCTTTGTCCTTTCTATATGCTTTTTGTTGTTTTTACTTTTATACAGAAATGGTAACTTTGTGCTTCTAATTTATTGTTTAGCAGGTTTGTAATATAACAAAACGTGCTGTCCTGCAGTTTTAGCTAGCAGAATCATGGTCTGAATGCTTTGCTGTACCAAACATTTGCTTTGCCAAGAGGCGTGTTAATGACTCCTTATAGGGTCCACTTTTTAGTCCTTTTTATTACGTTTATTTTAGTGTTATTCTATTGTTCACATTAGTATATGTGGTTGAACAATACTGGAGCTGACAGGAGAAGACAAAACTATCCAACTTTTGCATCTGTAATAAAGTGCACTGAAAAACAATGAGACACATGATGACAAAAATTGCTGTGTGCGAAGAGAGCGAAAGTGTCTGAGTTTTTGCCACAAAACATGCAGGATAATGAGGTTTAGAATCTCCAATCTTTCCACATGTAAGCTCTAGTACACCCGGCCCATCCATGTACTGAAGACCTGAGGTCACGCATCTCAATGGCAACCAAATACCTACCAGAAGGACGCTAGATACAAACCAGGGATCTGTGATTTCCCCCACAAAACAACATTAAAGCAAACTAGTTTAAAGAAATAGCAGGAAGTCAAGTGCCTAATGTAATGGCAGTAGAATCCAATCATTATTAAGATACTTCATCAGCCCAAAGAGAATTCACAGAATGAATAACATTCATGACAGTATCTTATTTATCTGATAATTTTACTGTTCTACACATACAAAGGTTAATTTATATCCCTGACCTATATGTAACTCTGTCTGTGAAGATGGATTTAAGAAATAAGTGTTTTCAGTTTTAAAATGACCTCATGTGGTTGGTTGCGGCTATAATAGACTGGTGACACAAGAGAACTCGGAGAGAAATAACAGTAAAACTAAATAGTTTGAGGGGATCACTGCCCATGGCTGCTATCCAAACAACCTACAGCTACTTATTGCTAAAGACAGTAAAGTGGAGAGTATGGCTAATATAGCCCAATAAGTGATTCCCTCAAACTGATCTTCTGTTTTAGTGTCGTTATTTTCCTTTGAGTTATTGATTCAGTCTCTAGTTAGCTAACATAAACTAATTTAAAGCTATGACCTGCAACTAACCCGGTGACGTAACGTGTAGGACTGCCACAGCAGTTTTTGGGCCTCCATCTTACTCTATCCTCTTGTACAGTACATCAAACCAAGCTACATGCCCTCTTCTACTGTATCTATTAACTTTCTCTTTGATTTTCTTCTTTTCCTCTTGGCAGCTTAGTCTGCAACATCCATCTCCTGATATACCACTATCTGTCCTCTGCAGCTCTTTCATTCATCTCCAAATCCTCCAAACCTAAGCTGTGCCTCTTATTCATTTCTAATCCTGTCCATCCCAGGAAAAAGGAGTCTTCAAAGAGTCTACCTGTTGCAGATTGAAACCTTTCAACTGTATTTCCTCTCTAGGTGGCAAACACCATCACCAGTTTAGAAATCGTGATGAAAACCTGTACACATTATCAATCAGACATTGACAGGTTGTCTTTGGTCTGCAAAAATGTGTAGCTGGGTGAATGCCTGGACGACGCTTTCCCAGCAGGTCACTGCATCATAATGACACAATCGCTTGTTATTTGCTCCACCTGTATTCACTTTACCTGCCTGTTTTAATGTTGTGGTTGATTGATGTGAAGCTAAACAGGGCTAATGAGGTTTTACGAGAATGCAATGCCCGAAT